AATTCACGCCACAAGTCTTGCTTTTAAATTTTTGTAATAATAACATTTTTTGATATCAAATTTAGACTTCCATTCTCTTTTAATATACTTGTAGTTAGAGAGTTTTTTTATAATCCATCTCTGAATGGAATTTCAAAAAATGTAAGTCTGGAATGCCGCTACTATAAAGAGCACGATACATTAATGTAAGTTTTTCTAATAATAATAGTGAAATTAATATAGAAATTACTAAAATATTTATTTTATTTTTCTTTTTTTTTTTTTTTTTTTTTTGCCAGCCCTTTCTAAACAATATCTGAAAATGAATGTTAGTATTGAGGGGCTGTGCGTAGAATATATATGCTATTTTAAAAGCTGCCGTTATCAAATAATCAAATGAGTTGAGGAGAAAAGAAAAGAGGAAGCCCCAAATTAAATATCCAGTACCCTCACTGAACAAAATATTGCATAGTAAAAATTCATATTCAATTCAATGTTATAACGTATTAATATGAAATATAAAAAAAATATAAACAACGTTAATTTTCAATTACTGATTTAAATATGAATACTATTCAAAACAAGTATAAATCTTTATAATTAAAGTGTGTTATCCTAAAGTATCAGCAATTCCACAATCCGGAAAACGTGAATACTTATAGTAAGAAAAACTCAATAAATATTTTTTAATAAACATTTGCTATAAAATAAATATATATAATATGCATTTACAAAATATAATATAATATTATTAAAAAAGCTAATACTGTTATTAGAAGAGTAGAAAAAAAAGTAGGGAAAATAATTTTACAAAATTAAAATTTTGAATGAATGGAATGAAACCCATGTCCAAGTCAACACTTGTGATTAAATATCGTCGCACTTTAAATTAAATATTTTAAGATTAAGCTCGAAATTTAAGTGTGCAAACTTTATATTCATATACTACAAGTAAAACATACTGGGGTGAAAAATCAATGGTAAAAATTTATAAATCTACTTGTAAGTATTTAAATTTACGTGTGTTTTTTATGGGTGCTGTTAATATAAGGAACCGACCTTGTTCACAATTTCAGTGAATGATCGCCAGCATCCCTTCCCCAGATGCGTGCCAGTAGTTTTTAGATGCAGCCAAACGCATTTGTATTCCATTGGCTGTGTGGATCACTGTGTACCACTGTGTCGTCACCGTCTCTCAGCTTGGCTCCTTCTGTCTCACTCGCACTTTGCTGGTCGAGTTTACGCTCGACTTAATTTGTTTACTGTTGGTTTGGGCCGCCGCCGAGCGCCAAATCAAAAATAATGCGAGCCCTGGCCGCGCAAACTGAGTGAAATAAATGCGGCAGGCAGCGACAGCGCAGCGATGTCCGTGGTAGCGAATTGTATGCCTGTTCACAATGTTGCATGTTTGGGGCTGGCTACTGCAAAATTCATGCCACAGACCCCTAACCATCACAACATGGCTGCCTGCCACCCCATTGGCCTTTTGTGTTGTCGTCTACGCTTTTCACATTTGTTTTTATGACAGCGACCTGACCTGCATATGCCGTCCAACAGTGCGCCCTGGCCACGTGATGTTCCTAATGAATTGCAAGGACTGTCATTTGTAGTTTATGCGGTCGTTGAGCAAGGAATGGCAGGAGCTGGTGGTGGCCTTTCAATGCCTTTCAGCATGCGCCTCATTGTTCTGACCGTTTTTATCTTTAATTGTGCGTTAATAGCGTAAATATTTTCAGTTTGCGTATTTTTTGTGTGCTCTTGAGCGCTGACTTACTCCGAATACCTCAGATTGTTTGAGTGTGTGTGTGTGTGTATGTGTGTATGTATGAGGCTGGGTCTGTGGTCGTAAAAGAAGGGTTCATTGTGTGCGCATTTGTGTGCACATTAAGCGCGAGCCTCCATGCAAAACTAAACATAAACATACTCGTATGTAAAAGTATATATAAACTTAATTGTATAAAATACATTCATCAAAGTGAAGAATGGCGAAGGATATAGCCTAAATTGTCTTTATTAGTAGAGCTTATAAGATTAGAATCAAAAAACAACTTCATAGTAAAAATGAATATTTTCATATTCAATGTTCTAATATTTCGTATTTATATTAAATATATATCAAAAATATTCAATTACTGATTTAAATATTAATTATATTCAAGACAAAGTGTAAATCTTTGTTAATAAAGTGTGTCATGCTCAATTTAATGTTGGTTATATTTAATTTTATTATGCATTCACTTCCGAAAACAAATATTTCAATAGTAAATTTTTATATCTTACCCAACTTTCTCTTGTTTTTTGTTGTTAATATATTATATATTGCATCTTAATATTTTGAATACTTAATTGGAATATTTTCAAATGCAGAATAGAGACAAACATTGACTAGAATTCCCAAGTCGGTTCTCAGCAGTTGTGTGGTATAAATAAAGTAGAGTAGGCAGAAAAGTGGGAAAAATATTTTATTATTATAATTATAATTATAATAAAGAAACCTTTGGCGTGAACCAAAACCTACGTTCACATCATCAATTGTGATTTAATATCGTCACAATTTCAATAAAATATTTTTTATTTATTTATATACAGCTTATAGGTCTGAGCTATAGCGATGTGGCCTTAAACTGAACTTAAAAATAATATGATTTACTATAATGAATTAGTTTTATATACAAAAGTTGGTGGGTGGATTAATGAAGATTTTGTGGAATTATAATAGGACTATTATTTATGAATTAGATCAGATTTTTTAAGGAACTTTACAAGTATTTTAGAGTTTTCGTTTGATGGTCCAAAAAGAAAGGTGGATGGGTCGATGGTTGGGAAATAAATCTGTCTGGATCTATTAAAATGTGGGCATTCAGGTAAAATGTGTTTTATTGAGGTAGCAGTAGAATAAAGTATCGGAGCATTACAACATTATCTAATTTAAGCTGATTTCTCTGTTTCAAATAACGTGCTCAGGCATTTGAAATTTTAGCAAAAATTTTTCAAATGCTCCTTGAATACCCCCCAGTCTTAGCAGGACAATTATTTAAAATTATTGATGCATATCTTGGAATAGACACCTATTACTTAAAGCTCGTGGGAGTATGTATGTACATGTCGCTAATGCATTAGATCAGCACAGATGCAGTGACAACTAATACAGAGATAAAGGACGACTTACAACAGGATAGCTGCCAGCCCGGAGGCATGGAATCCATGACTCCCACGATGGGGGCGTGGCAGTGAGAGTGGCATTCGCTGGCGCATTACATACAAGTACTTGCCGGCTGGCTGTCATCAATTTGCGTTATTTCTTTGCCATTTTGCTTAAAGCGAAACCAAGCGAAACGCCAACAGAAGCAACAACAGCCACCGCAACGTGGCATGCAACAAGACGGAGAACAACAACAACAACAACAGCAACAACGACGAAATTCAGCCAAGTTGACGAGCACTTGAGTGCGCATTAGAGGCGACGGCAATGGCGATGGTGATAGCGATGGCGATGGCGATGATGCTGCCAACGACAAATGGCGGTGGCCCGTTAGTGCGCGTTGAGTGCAATGACTGCGTGTGTATGTATATACACGTACATGTGTTTGTGTGTGTGTGTGGGTGTGGGTGTGCAACTCTAAGCTCTTGCGGCTTGACTGGTTTCCCCTGAATCAACGCAATAAAGAAGAGGCAGGCTGCACTTATTAAGAGACACAAGTAGTAGTCGCTCAAAACTATCGCGGCTCACTTTTTAAGCGTCTGCAGCAACGACAACATAGTTTCAGTATACATTTATCTCTAGTAAATACAATTAATAAGTGAATGTTTAGAAAAATTGTATATGTTAGTGCTTCAGACATCGAATACATATATTTTAAGCTAATTGTGTTCGGAATTTCAGGAAGTGTTGACCAAGCTTGCTAGTTTGTAGTCAAGTGTAATTACGAGCAAATGCTAACAAGTTTTGCTGCTCTTAACAAATCATTTTATTTGCCAGTCGCAAAAAACCCTCGAATTGCTTACTTAATTTAAGTAATTTAAGAGTCATTTTTCGTTTAGAATACACAGTTGTTTTTCAAGCTCGCTTTAATTTCAAAGTATTATTTAAGACGCTTTAATCATATTTATTACAGTTTTCGATGCAATACAAGTATAGTTGTGTACAAAACTGACTGTGCTTTAAAACACACGTCTAAGATTCAATTTTTATTTATTAAACTGAACACTCACATCATCATTGAACCTTTTAATTTAATGTAACATTTGTCACAAAAACCACTCACACACTTACCAAAAACCAAAGACTAAAAGCCAGTCTAAATTTCAAAATTATATTGATTTTATTCCAGTTTTTGAATCTATACTACGGTTTACAGTGCGGTGTACACTTTGAAACGGAAAATTAGTGAAAATTAGTTCGTTTACTAGCAACAGCTTTTTAATGCTACACACGTTAAGTGCAGTTTTTCAAAAACTACCGCAAATAAAGTATTGCTACCCATTAATAAGTCAACAAAGTGTTGGTGCGGTTCGATAGCCAGCAATTTCTTGGGGTTTCTTTATGTGCATTGGCAAGCAGAACTTTCTTGGAGGAGGATGTTTTTATTGTGCGTGTTGCACTGTGACGGCATTGATTGCAAAGGCTTATAATAGTACTTATGTTTTCATCCGTGCAGTTCTACATTTGTGGGCATGCAAACGAGTTTGTAATTATAAACTACAAGCCTTATTTTCTGCTCGTTTCATAGTGTTCTTAAACTGACAATAAATAACGCAATAAGCAAATGGCGAATTAGTTTGTATGCAAGGAAATTAATTGTAAATACTGTATCGGCTTAATTCGCTTACTTCTCTGCATTTTATTTGTCTTAATGACAAATAAACTAAATATGTGCTAATATTTCTTAATTAGAATTGACACTTCAGAGCTCAGATGAAGTTTCCAGTTCCATCCATGCATAAACACATTTTCAGCATATTTAAGCCACTTCTATACTGATTGGTTACAACTTAACTGTTAAATGATTTGGATGCCGTACATGGTTCGAGCGCGTTTCGATTCTGGTCATATTGCTTAATTGTATTACTCTGGGCATGTATCAGCCCTGTGTGGACGATGCCTGCGTGACGAATCGTTGTAAAATTCTACAGGTACGTGTAATAGCAACAACAACAATCATGAACACACCAGGCTTGGGGGACAAATGATAAAGCAACAGATGCCGCGTTCTGCTGGCGACAATTAAGGACGAATTCGTGCCAAAACCTTGAATTATCAACGTGTTGGCAGACCACCCGCTCATTGACTCTAGTGTTGATGTTGGGTTACCCAAATGAGCGGCAGCCGTAAATGTGGCAAGTAACATAAGTCAAAAAGCTGACAGACAGGAAGTGTATTAGTGTGCGTGTATTTGGGTGTTTGTGCGTCACATTAAATGTCATTTATTTAGGCAATTTTTTGCTTCACTTCCTGCCTGACTGCCTGACTGCCTACCGCTTACCGCCTACCTGCCACCCTGCCGTACTGGCAGCCTGGCAGCCAATGAGGCCCTTCTTATAGGACTTGGCAGCCTCTGCCATGCTGATGACATCAAACAGGCACTTCGGCTCATTAGACAACCAAAGCACACGGTTCTGTCAGCACCCATGGTGCTCGTGGCGGGCCGGGCAATTACAGGGACAGGCCATATCAAAAATGTGAAGCGTAACTTTGTAAAATGATACTGTGCGTAGGTGGCTTAGGCCGAGCCTGGTGCAAATGATGAGGTTGAGGTTGAGGGTGATGGGGATGATGGGGATGATGAGGCTGGCATGTAGGCATTTGGTCCGCAGCCAAGTGTAAAGAGCCGATGACGAGGACGAGGCCAATGACAACATAAGTGGCACTCAAATTGCTGGGCGTTGTCTGTCTAGCAGCATAAGTGGGACCTGTGGTCTCATAAGCCAGAGCATCCCCACAAAAATACACATTTCTAAGTTCTAAGAACGAAGCTCCATAACAATTTTTGCAATGTTGTAGCAAAATTGTTCAATTTTAGAGGCTTAACGAGCTACAATTACTATAAACAAAGTGTAGGAATTCTAGGCAAAGACTATAGATCTCTGGGTTGTTGGAAGGGCAACTCAATGTAGGAATGTTTGCGACTGAAGGTGAACGACTCGGCTTATAGTGAGTACCGAACGAATACACAGAGTAGTTTTTTAAATTTCTTAAGATTTGTTCTGAATAATAAGAAAGACTAAAGATAGGGCTCCGCATTACCTGTGGAATGCCAAGCTTAGTCGCCACAAAAGTATAGTTTCTCCGTATCACTAATGTGACTAGAAGTGGTGTAAGCTGGCAACAAAAAGTCAAATAGGACTAACTCCCCTTTAATAGTATACATATTTACATACCGCTGTTCCTTAAAGCCCAAAGATAAAACTTCAGGAAGGTGTTGTTCAAGTAGAGCTAAAAGAGAAGAATACGAAGAATATAGCAACAACTTAACATAAATCCATTGAACTGAGAGCATTTGTTACGAGTATTTGGGGCGATAACGATTAATAAGACTTAATTATAGTATTTCGATTTGTATTCAACAAATTGTGCTCAATTGGAACTTTATAAACTGTTTGATGTATAGATTTTCGATGACATCATCTTCGCCTTCTTTGCCCTGGAGATGACCATCAAAATGGTGGCCATGGGCATGTGTGGCAAGAACACTTATCTGGCTGACTCCTGGAATCGCCTGGACTTTTTCATAGTGCTGGCTGGCCTGCTGGAGTACGTGATGCATGTGAAGAATCTCAACCTGACCGCCATTCGAACAATTCGAGTGCTTAGACCGCTGCGTGCCATCAACCGTATACCTAGTGAGTTCCCCCCGAAATTATACTCCAACTCCGCCGATTAAAGAATTCTCTTTCTGTCTCTCTCCCTCTCTCTGTGTGTGTTATAGGTATGCGAATTCTGGTCATGCTCCTACTGGACACGCTGCCAATGCTGGGCAATGTGCTGTTGCTCTGCTTCTTCGTGTTCTTCATCTTTGGCATTATCGGCGTGCAGCTATGGGAGGGTATTTTAAGACAGCGTTGTGCACTCGTCCCACCCCCGGACGTGGTCTATCCGGAAACGTAAGTACTTGTAGTTGGACAACGTTGCCAACGTTGCTTTAGTTGGGCATCGCTCGCTCAGTCGGGCCGAGATTTTGATGATACATATATTAATCACAATCAATGTGATAATAAAGATGATGATGATGATAATGATGGAGATGATAATGATGATGGTGATGATGATGATGCAAATGTTTGTCTATGTCTGCCATCTGCAGTTTGCAGCAAAGTCTTTTGTTTTTGTTGTTTAAGGAATATTTTTTGCATATTTTTGGCCTCGACTTTGTTTGCCTAGGCTTACGTTTTTATCTACCATATCTACATAATTGTATAGCTATATCGTACTTACATATATATATTTATATATACTCTATATATCAAAAGTATATACCAAAGGCTTAAAGCGCGTGGCTGCTTTTCGTTTCAACTACCCAGCAAAATAACCATAGCGCCTAGTTGAATCTATTTTGTTTTTGCTTAGCGATTTGCTTTTGTTCATTTTTTGATTTTGTTTTTGTTTCTGTTACTGTTTCTGTTTCGAAACCACTGACAGGTCAACACAAGAGCACAACATAAATCTAAGAACAACAAACATATATAGCACATACATAAGTAACACAAGCAGCAACAACAACAGCAACAACAACTGCTCTCACACATCAATGCAATTTGCATTCGAAATGCAATGCCAACATCTGCCTGCCAGTCAATTTGATGAAGTTGACAGACTCTGAGCAAACCGAGATGATGTCGCCTTTGCCTTCGCTTTCGCTTTCGCCTTCGCCATCACCTCGAGCACCAGCATTCGCATCAACGATGGTTCCAATGATGGTTCCACACATTCCACATATATTCAGGCAGAAACACACACACACACACACACCTACAGACTATAGGCTACTCAGCAGTCACGTGCTCGTGCTCAACCAAAGATAGTGGGACCAAGGCAGCTCCCTGGCAACTCGCAGCTGCCACATGCCTCTTTGCGGTTGCCCATTTGCGTGCGCATTGCGCCGCAAGTGGCGCGCATTGTGGCGGTCCTGACAGCAGCAGCAGCAGCAGCAGCAACAGCAGCAGTAGCGGCAAACAAAGATTTTAAACTTGAAAAACAATCATTTATCATGGACAGTGTGTGCGGCTGGCGGGTGCTCGGTTGATGGTGGCGGTGGCATCGTTGTCGTTATCGTTGGTGACTCGGCCGCTGTCAGGCTATCCCCCGCAGCATTTCCACACTAGTAGACAATATTTGGAACTTCTTAATACTTACGTTACCCAAAATAGTGGTTTAAAAATGGTTCTATTTTAAATTTTGGGTTACACAACACTTTACTCAAAAGGAGACAGAAGGACGGACGGACATATCTAAACCGATTTGTCTTGCCATATGAGTATGCTGTCTGAGATGTTTGCTTAGATATTATTATATTTTGCAGAAACCGGATATACAGTTTTTAAGCTACAAATAAGGGTATAAAGTATTTGTTAATGTTCGGGATTACTTTTGATTTCTCTGTTCAAAGTTTTGAGCAGCAAAATGGTCAACACTTTTCCATTACCGCACTAGGAATATTGGTTAATTGTGGAAACGGAAACGGGGTCGATAATGCAGTATCTCAGCCAATCTTTATAAGTTGTATTTAATGTTTATTCCAGAAAAGTGTCTGCCCGTATTTTGAAAAGAAAAGTAAAACACGAAATCAAATAAATAGGGAATATAAGTAAAAGATCTACTATTTATTCAAACTAGTTCGCCTTAATTCAAGCTCAGAAGCAGTTCAAAGCGTACAAGAGTCATTTTTTTCGAGCTGCAGAGTTGGCAGTCAAAAGCAGCTGCAATCGCGTCCTGTCACAAACATTCATACGAGCACATATAGAAAAAAACAACCACACACATACATATGTACATTTACTCACACAACCATATTAAGCGCAATCGCTGCTACTGCTGCACATAAGTGGGCTACGATTTTTTCATTGTACATACCGTTCGGCTTAAGTTTTATTCCGCATAAATAATGCTCCAACTTTTTCCGAGCGACACATATGCCATGTCGCTGTTGCATTTTAGGTGTTGGAGTGCATTAAACGCTATCGGGAATTGGCCAATTTTTTGTGTTGATTTTGTCTCTTTTTTCTTTCTTTTTGGTTGCTTGCTGCGCGTTCAATTGTTAAATGATGCCGCCTTGGGCCTGCATTATAAATGTAAATAATTAGTTGCAATTGTATTTAGTTTTGATTGTTGAACATACAATTAAAGTGCTATTAATGCTTCCGTTAAAGCTATACACAAAACAGTACACACTCGACACAAAAACAATTAGAAGTTGCACTATTTAACCAATATGGGAAAATACTTGAGGGAATGCGGCTCATCTGAAACGAGCGCCAATAAAGACTACCTACTAAGCTAAAGATCGTTGCACATACATTTATATTATACTTGTATGATACTCCATAAAAACTTAAAAATGTTTTTTAAAGTCGATTTGGAGTCGAGTGTGTACTGCATTTTTTTCAAAATCTTTTAATATCTCTTAAAATATTTAAAGCCTCTGTTTATTCAAAAATATCCTTGCAAATGGAACGGATTTTCTCAATTCTCAATATAAAGATATGTCCGTTCGCTTAAATGCAAATTCATCTCGTATTTAGGTATTAGTTATAGGGTTAAACCATTTCTGAGAAGGACCAACTCTTAGCACTCAGTTTGCCTACAATGAGGAAAAATGAAAAAGTCGTCCTGTTTTCGGATATTTACAAGTATAATGCTTGCTCAAGAATCAGTATTGCCTGGTCGGGCCACACAAGTTGATTTTTTGTTAAACATAACATATAACCATATCGGTGTAGTATCAGAAATTTAGATACATTTTTGCAAAGAGACTTCAGTGTTCAGATTTTAGGTAAATGAACTGATTTAGTTCTTTCAACTAACTCAGTAAATCCTTTTAGAATAAAATCGAGAGGATAAACACAATCCTTGTTGTAAAACCATTAACACAGACATTAAAAATGGGTGGGAGGTGAGGCTGTTTTGGATTTAGCTGTATCGAGGTCCTCCGTTTTAAAGTTTTCGTGAAGTCGATACGTAAAACCGGTTTTCATAAGAAACTTAAATGTATCGAAAAAAAAACATTATTTTTCAAATCAAGAGCAAAACCAAGAGTGACATGAAATGAAGAAGTTATTGCTAAGGAATTTTTAAAGTCCCTTAGTTGGTTATTCAATCCAATGATAGTTTGCAGGATATGTATAAGATCTTCGGCGTGCCGTAGATGGTAGGAGTTTTATATTTTTGGTAAATATTTTTCTTATGTATTGTGCTATACTTAACATATTGTGCGTTGTATGTTTTTGATTTGATTTAAGCCCGAATCTCCACCCAGGTTCTCAGCTACAACAGCTAAAATGTACATTTTTTTAAATATATACATATACACCAACACTCATATATAGTACAGCTGTCATGTGCAAAACTGTCCGTGGTATTTTTTGTTATTCGTTTTTTGAAACTAATTTTGTTGAGCTACCCAATTAGCTACGATTTTTTTGTGTTGCTCTGATTTAAATGTTTCATAACACATGCGCTAATTGTAAAATACAAAAAACATTTGAACGGCATTTGTAAATTGTTGGCGTCATTTTGTAAATATTAAAAAATATAACACACCTGACACACCCACCTGTACACGCTGTACGCCTACTCACAACTGGTACCACATGCCAAATAATTGCGACTCGGTCGCCAGCTTAGCAAACAGTTTATTCATTTTGAATGCGCCAGCAGGACGCGCAACTATAACAGCAACAACAATAACAAGACCAGCAGCGCTATGCAAAAAATTTTCTAACTACACTTTGAAATACTATATATCGAATTTTGATTTGTTAAATACATTTATTGAATTAAAACGAAAACAAAGCAAATTGTAAACAACCAAACAAGTGCCAAGTGCAAATTGGCAGCAGACCATGAAAAAACAAAAACAAAAACCGAAAAAAAAAATGGAAAACAAACCTAACTAAACATTAATTGTGTTTGTTTCACGTTTTATGTTTTGTGACAAAAATCATACCGGGAACAAATTTTTTGTTTACAGGGGACTACCTGATGAGTACAGAGTTCGAGTCCGTGTAAACTCGTAAGATAAAATGATTTATTTTCCCCTTTTACTTACACAATTACATACCCAACACACACACATACACACACATTCGCCCAAACAAACCTTAGACTTTCTACCGTCCTCCTGCTCTGCCAACCCCTCTTCTACCCAAGCGCTCAATCGCTTCGAGATTGCGCTCCAAACAAAATATTTCAACCTATTATTCTACTATTCTTACATTTTTTCCATCATGTTCTGCGTTCCTCTCTCCCTACACTCGTCCCAAATATTATTTTCAAAATTACGTCTCTCGATATTCGATATTCTTGTCAATTCCTATGATATCTTAATTCCTATTCTCTTTGCATTCGTTGAGACTTATTTTAAAATTTTCACGTAATCTCCAACACATGCTATTGGTTTTAGATTCTCTTATTTTTTAAGTTTTCTTCCCTCTCCTCTCTTTTTCTTACCATCATACAGATACCTTTAATTTTTGGTTTGCTCTCTTTCTTTACTAAGCATTTTATTTTTTCCCCGCCTCAAAAGTTCGCTGACTCATATTCCTTTTTGGGCTCATCTTTTTTATTTCCTTCTGATACAGGCCTTTTGTTTCTAATCGTATTTTCTCTTTCCCAATATTAATCGAGTTAACTATCGCATTTTAGCTATTCCGATAAGCGGCATTTTCGCTGCTTCCCTATCTCTCGCTCTTGGTCCTCCTTGCCCGCTCACCCTACACGCTCATCCTAACACACAAGCAACAATATACAATTTTCCACATAAATGTTCATTAATAAGTACCTTTAACTATGCCTTCGGGCATTCTATATCACTCTCTATCTCTCGTAATATTTGACAATATATGGATATGTATACATAGATATAAATCTTCCACTCTATAATACTAATCGAAAGCTATTCAAAAACATTCTAATACGCTTTACAATTACAACACTACTCTAGTAACAATAACTAACAAATCGTAATTTATTTAAAACATAGCTAGATAGTTAGTTAGCTCTACACAATTGTACCGTTTTTGGCGCCCCAAATCATATTGTACTTAACATGCAACACACACACACACACACACGCAACCCCAACTTAGAGAACTTTTTACCAATCACACTATATGTATCAACACTGTTGTCCCGGCTCAGTCTCATTTAAAGCTGACAACAACTCGACTTCATGTTTGTGCCTTTTGTGGTCACTTTCAAAAGTAGTCTTTGTTTGTATGTGTGTCGTCTCTATGTATGTATGTGTTAGCCACAATTTTCACTTGGCGGACGAGACTATGTTCTACATTTATTTTTTACTTGCATTCAATTCGGACTCGATGTTGTGCTTTTTATAAATGTGGTTGTTGCCTTATGTTTTTTTTTTTTATTAGTGTTTTGTTTATGGAATTCAAGGCATTCCCAACTTGACCATACGCTCTGCTATAAATTCTATAAAATATTTCGAAGCACACACACATACACACCCAACACAAACACGCTCGTACATGGTCATACACAAAAAACGGAAAACGGAAGAAAAAATTGTGCATTTTTGTGTTTATTTTTGTGTTTGCCAATTTTTGGTTCGGTTTGCTAACAACGCAGAAAAACTTGATGTACATACATCTCTATGTACTCGATGTATGTATGTGTATGTATGGCTATTAACAGAGCAACAAACAAAGCAAAGAACAGCAAACATGGCAATAACAGCAGCAGCAGAGGCAACAACAGTAATGCATATGTCACTGCCATTACGGGTAATATGTTACAAAACTAAAGCGCCGCGGGCCTTTAATGCAGGCTGTGAGCAGAAAACCATGAGCGTACGCACAGACACCTAATTAAATATATAGCATAATTATATATATATACAGATATATATTTCGCAGGTTAAGTAGAAATAGAAACCATCAAGCAGTTCCCTGGCAAGCAAAGTTTTTGCTATAATTTTAATAAAACACACATACACACACACTAGTCAAGCACAGACTCGCACACGCACACAGATGCACGTTAGCGCTGGCAAATATGCTACATATACTATATGAGTAAAATGTGTAATTTTTGTAAGCTCAACTCTTTTTACAGGAAGAACCATCAGTTTATGTTGCACAGGTATTTAAAGCTGCCCCGCTAAGTATGCAACAATAAAAATTAAGCGCGCATAACATTCGAGGGGGCGTGCTGGTGCACACCATACACATACATACGTACACCACATACACACACATACGCCCTCATGCCAATGTCAAATATATACCACACAGACGTACAACATACACAGGCACACATGCATACACGTATACAGTATGTGCAGCAACAACAAATTTATTGAGTTTTCAAAATAAAGTTAGCATACATTTGAGCGCGCGAATTGTTGCAAAAATATTTAAAATTTACTTGTGGTTTTTTGTACGCTGAACGCGCACGTGCATATTAAAAACATTTTATTGTAAAACACACACACACACACAAACACACAATTTTTAACTCGTCCCACAGACACCCACACACGTACAAAGGAAGGCGCATTCGCGTTGGATTTTTCGGTTTTTTCCTGAAGTTTTGCGACACAGTTTTCAGTGTGTGTGTGTGTGTGTGTGTTAGCGCAAGTGTCGCACGAGCTGGCGCTGCCAACGGCCATTTTGTGCTGAAACGCATTTAATTTAAATTGCTTTAGCGCTCTTTTTACAGTTACAGTTTCATTTTCTTTTTAAGCGCTCACATTTTTATGTTTTCGGCTTAGCCGCCATTTGCCTTTTTGCTCGGCACTCCGCTACAAATGTGTCGTAAAGTAACGCGATGTGTTAACGCTTGCATTAACTGTACTTTTCTCGGCCAAATGAGACCGGCACACAAATACACATAAGCGCAAACGCACGCCGACACAAAAGCCAACACTGCACGCGGATTCTATGAAACAAAACAAATATTTATTTTAAAATAAAATACTGTCTTGTGCTTATTCGCTTCGCTTGCACAATCTGTCTTACTCTGCCTTGCTCTCTATCGTTCTATGGCAAGCTGAGCTCTTGATCTCGCCTTGATGGCTGGCTTTTTCAAACTTGCGCTGTCCCGCTTTTTCGCCAGCTTGCTTTCTCTCTGTTTATCACTATTTGGGGCAGTGGCATTTATTCGCTCGATCACTGACCACTCGCTCGTTCGCTCGTTCGCTCGCTCGCTCTATCGCTCTCTCGCTCTCGCTACCCCAGTACATATCTAGCTTGATTTATTTTAAGATCTATTCAATTGGCATTATCTGCTTTCTCTTCTTCTCACTTGCTCAATCTGCAGTGTCTCTTACATAAACTCTCTCACACACACTCTTTCTCTCTCGTCTTTCTCTTTCTCTGTCTGTCTCTAATTATATAACTAGCTGTATGCACTACACGTAGCTGCCTGCTCGCGTGGTCCTTTCTACCACGTGCGCACGCAACTTATGCAAATTCGTTAGACGAAACATTTCGAAAACTTTGATAGAATCAAACTGCACCAAATTTTCGATCAAAATCAAAATTATGCTTTTTATTTCTTCTCTACGTTCTCTCAAATTGTCCATGTAAATGTTTAAAGTACTCGTATGCATAAGGCATATATATTTATATAAATATACATATATAGATACTATGTTCGTGTGTATTCTTGTAAGGTCTTGGAAAATTGCTAAAACTATTTTTGCTCTCTTTTCTCTCTCTCTCTCTTTTTCTCTCCCAATACAAATTTATTTACACACATGCATTTAACGAACATATATAATTCGCCACGCCACGTGCCAAAATGTTAATGCATTGTTTGTATAATTAACTTTACTTCTCCACCACAACATACACATAAAAATAAATTTACCGCCTGCCGCAGTGTCTCACACTATTATGAGTTCTCCAAGGATCAGGACTATATCTGCTCCACCCCAGAAGATTCGGGCATGCACTTGTGCGCCAACTTCCCACCCTATCGAATCGGAGCGCTCGTCTGCAACGGTAAGTAGTCAACGGTTTTATGATCAACTTGCAGCTAATGAAGTGCAAATTGCTCCGTAATCAAATTTAATGGCGTTTTTAATTGCTTGCGCGCGCCTTAATGAGTAAAACTTCTGCTCTACAAAACAACGTCTGGCAAACAATCTGCTTTGATATACCCCCATCCCCCCTCTCCACCATCCCTTTCTCTTCATCCTCTTACCATTCACAGCGGATGCCAAGCCGTTCGACTTCAACGAGCCGACGAACACCTCGTGCGTCAACTGGAACCAATACTACACGATGTGCAAACAGAGCGGCGAGAATCCATTCCAGGGCACCATATCCTTTGACAACATTGGCATGGCCTGGGTGGCAATCTTTTTGGTAAGTTTTAACAGTATTATCATTGTATCCTTGCCCAATTCGATTGAGCGTAGTGCGCTAAGAGACACAATTAACCGAATAATATCATTGTCCAGCTCTTGCATTGTACCGCAAGGACACTCGCCAATTCATTGATATAAGCGTGTTGAAGGGCAATTTCTTAAAGAAAAACTAAACCATTTTATTTATGATTTATTACTAAGTATTAGTACTAATACTTCACACATGCCGGGGTTTCTCTTTAGAGACAAATAATTCGTATACTTGTATAAGCTTAGCGAAATTCATAGGTAGGTCATGATTTTTCTACATGATTATATTTGCCTGAGCCCAGGCTATAGGACCGCAGACGACACTGTGCCCGTAATATATATTTTTTTCTTCGAAAGCAACCTTTTAGATGTGTGTTACGGGTTTTCTGGATAGTTAAGCTCAATTCTTAACATGTTGAACTAATTGCGGCCTCTCTGCTGAACAAATAATCTCTTTTTATTCAGGCTTATCGCTTATAACAGCGCAACAATCCAACGTTGTAAGCCGAAGTAAACATTAACACAGTCTGCAGGCCAATACTATATTTTTAAACGCCAGAGTTTCAGTAATGGTGACTCCCCTCCAAATGCTGATAAAGGGAATAGCAATGCTGCAATCAAATGTGTAGAGATGGGCAATGATAAGTGAAATAAGGGTATGCGTAAGCCCAATTATTAATTTGTTTCATTCCACTGATTTAGTCATTTATTTATGCCTTTGTTACTCGTATTCGCATACATTGTCCCTTTTGTATATTTGAGAATGTTTTGGTGCGCGGGACAATCGGCCGCCCGCGTGTAATTAAATGTCAATTAAAAGTATTTAAAAACAGAAAGGAGCGCCACTGAAAACAAAGCGCATAAAAATGCGCGCTGTGCTAACAGCTGCGCCTGATGCGGGCGCACGTGATCAAAAATTAAGCATACGTGATGTGGACCGACCGCTGCCGACATTGTCCCCATTCTCAATGCAATGCAATGGACAGCAGTGGGCGGTAGCGTTCATGCTAATTACTCTAGCTACAGCTGCTATTGTGTTTTATCCTTGTTATTAATGCTGTTTGCTTTTTTTGCAGGTCATCTCGTTGGAGGGCTGGACGGACATAATGTATTACGTGCAAGACGCCCACAGCTTCTGGGATTGGATCTACTTCGTTCTGCTAATTGTTGTAAGTACAATGTCCCAGGCTGGCAATAAACAACTTGGTCGTGCCCGAAATTTTATGACCCTCCATATAGTCGTATACCGTGAGATGCTACTTCTTTGGTTCTATTGTTACGAATATCGCTGCGAAAATGGCGCGCGGCTTGATCGCCGTTGAATATTCAATAGCCTTTGATTTGACATCGCTTCATCAAATATGCATGTTGTGAGCCCATCCGTTGTGAGCTGAGCTTATGAATTGAAATATTAAAATTAAATATTGAGTAGCTGGCGCTTAAACCTGTTATTTTTGTTGCCTTTGCCCATCAGTCAGCTCGGCACTTCACGTTCTAGTCGCTTTGATTGCTTTTAATGGCCAACTAAGCTCTCGCACAGACATCTTAATTGAGCTCTGCTACGGCCTCTGCCTGCGTGCCCTTCTTGTCGGTCAACAGTCTAAAGCAATTTGCCAAAATGAATAAGTAAATTACTCCTAAATAGTTGGTCAGCACACCCACCACACCCACCCTACCTTTGATGGCAAAGTTTTTAGGTAAAAATTATTAAAACTGCAAAAAAGTTGACTATGATTAGCTGACATAAGCCAACAATTTTTATACACTTTGTCATAAACTCATGTGCCAAGCTTACTTTCGCATTAGAAGCCAACTTTCCACTAGAAAGGCTTTCAACACTCAAAACAATTATTTTAATATTATAGACGCCCTCAAATTCAGACAAAAGTCGTCTAATTTTAAGAAATTTGTTTTTTTAAATTTGAGATTTCAACACTCCATCCAAATTCTTTTGGGAAATCATTCATTCTTGCTCAGCTTTAAGGCGATTGACTAATTTTTCTTTAGACACGCAATTGCTGTTTTTCTTGAGTTTGGAAAACCTTTCCAAGCTTTTATTGCTCAGTAGTTTTTGCGCCGTTTTTCATAAAAGCTATGATTTCCAAATCTACATTATTATGAATCCCAAGTTGTCTTTCTGGTTTGTAAGTTGCACGAGTATATAATATTCTAATAATTCACAAAAATGGACACATGTACTCTTATATCAATTACATATATGATGTGGTGGGCAAACAACTTAATTCCCAGGTCTATAGTTCTAGGAAAATACATTTCTACTTCACAGAAAATATATTCCAGAAATCGAATATCATTTCTACTTCACAGAAAATGTTAAATATAACAAGAAAAAAATTCTAGTAATAATTTCCTAATTTTCAACGACGTACAGTTTACTTGTTCTAGAAAGAATCTTTCGAAAAATAGGGTGATCTGCTTTTAGTTAAATTTCAAGCACAATAACTAATTAAAGTCTTTTAGTGCAAACTATTTAAAAAATTATTCCACATCAAATGTTTTGGTGTATAAAGTATATCAGAAAACAACATTGTAATTAATAATGTAGAATCTATGGTGGAAGCTTGCTCTTAGGTTCCATCGTTTTCAGCAGCTAGAGATAACGAATTAAATAATTTGAAATGGAAAGGAAAACTATTTCTAAGATGCTGGCAATGAAGTATGGAAACCAGAATTCCAGAATTAATCATTTCGAGAGCAAAATTGTTCTTCATGCTGATTATTAATATACTAAAGTTTTGTTTTTCATTTCGCAAGTGTATTCAATAGTGGAGCCAACAAATGCTCAGTAGTGTGCAGTATCTTTTTCGCAATTTTGGATTTGTTATTGTGCATGCACAGCACTATAAGTGTGTGTGTTCATGTGTATTTAAATGCAATATCATTTGCATTTTTGCCCAAGTTTGCATTTGGCCACAGCGCAGTAATTTGGGCGAAAAGTTTGAGCAGATTGCCTAATGGCAGGACTAATAGACCCACACACATACACGCACTGCTATGACCTTGCGTGTGTCTGCATGTAAGTCTGAGTGTGTGTGTGTGTGTGTGTGTGTGTGTGTATAGCCTAATGCCTGCAATGTTTGCAGGCCAACGTTTGTAGACAGTTGTCAGGTAGACACACGAATACTCGCACATGCATACATATCCTTGGACTAATTAAAAGCCTTTAAATGCACAAGCACATGAACGCATGCACCATCAAATGGATATACATATACATATGCATATGCATATATATGGATATACATACTATATGCACATATTTGCGGCTGTTACCTGCCAAACAACAATAATAGCAACAACAACAACAACAACAACAACTGCTGCTCAGTTGGCAGCATTTACAAAAGAGAATTTCATTATTTATGTTTCCAAGTTGTGCTGTGAAGTCCTCTTTGCTTAACCGCTTGCTTCCTGCTCCCCCCACCAGAGCTCCCTGGCACTGTTCATTTGATGGTGCACGTCTCTATATATGGGAACATATTCGCTCCCTCTCTCTCTCTTGCTCTTGCTTCTCTTTCTCTCTCGCTATGCCGAAACAACTTTTGATGTGAAAATAGTTCGCAGTTTGCACACACAAACACAAAAATATTCTAACATTCACATACAAGTATACCTACATACAAGCACAAGTATAGTACATATATATGTATGTGTTTGTGTACGTGTATGTGTTTATTGAAAGTTGCTTGAAAACTGAGCGAGGAAATTGCATATTTATGTTGTACATTTTTGCCTCCACATACAAATTAGAAACGTTCTTTGTTTGAAAATATGTTTCCAATTTAAAGTTGGGCAGTTTGTTTAGCAGGCGCAAGCGCAGGCGGCAAGTGTCCGGCACTAAGGTGGCCCACCAAAAACAAAACTAAGTAAATGAAATAAAATCAAACTAGGCAATCAACACATTTTTGCATTTATAATAGAAATTACATGTATGTATGTATTTGTTTCAGTTATTGATTGCAATTCTGTTCATTCCACTAAGCTCAGTAGGTCACTTTTAATTGGCAATCATTTCTATCCTATATCCACAATTTTGACGTTGTGAAAGATGTAGATATTAAAAAAAGGATCTTAGGTCGGCTGTAAAAGCTACCCCAGCACCCTTCTCCACTTGCCCATCGAAGCGCAGCAGCAGCTGCACAGGTAATGCCAAAAAGTTTCGCACTGCCGCTTCAACAAATTTCCAAGTCTTTTTGTTCTGCACCAACGCCTTTTATTTTGCTGTGCTCCTTTGTTTGCCATCCAGCCGCCTGTCTGTGTTGTGCAGAGAGCCTGTTGCAGCTGCCGTCGCCAAATGTGCTTACAAGTTGAACCGCAATCAGGCATATTAGTAGCTAAACATTTTAAAAGTAACGCAAGCAAAACAAATATCCCAGCAAAAAGTTGCACAAAAATCTCTACAATGCTTGCGTGTGTCTGTCTGTCTGACTGCCATTTATTGTCCTCGCTTTGGCAAACTTTTTATACCGTTTTTAGTGTCAGTGTCCTTCTTCCATTCGCCATTCCTTTCCCTCCCAACTTGGGTGTGAGCTGCGGAAATACAAAAAGTTAGTTGTTTTCGCGCTTGCTTCAAGCTTCAACAGTTTTTTACGAGTTTATACTCACATATAAGGAAGAACTCTGTACGTTTTAATGTAGAATGACACGCAGCTTATTAAAAGTTCTTATGCAAAGAAAAAATTCTTCAACTGCAAATTTCATCGTCAGTCAACATATATACAAAATTAATTGGCAATTCTACGATTTAATGGCTTGGATTTTATTGTAAGAGGAAATGGGAAAATCTAAACCTTAACCCTGCTTATTTCTTTGATAGTCGTGCTATCCTCTAAGACTTTTATAAAACTAATTAAATTAAAGTCTACAACAAACAATAAATAAAACAAAATAGCGCTCACAAAAGCTGTAAGTTATTATAAAATTTTTGTAATTAGAAGCTCCCAAAATAAACCGAATCCGACATACATATAGTTTTAATAGTCTTAGGAATATATACGATTTTAAACTTAAATTAATTATTAATAATTTAGATTAGAAGCCGCCAAACCAAGCCGAACCTGTCAGCAGCATTTCAACATATATTTCTAACCGAATATTCAATAGTCTTGTGAATAAGTATGATTTTATTCTTAAGACAAATATTAAATTTTCCCAAACTAGTCACAAGCTTGAAATGAAATACAAATTCTTTGCAAATTTTGATAAAAATTCTAACAGAATTTTCAATACTCTTGTGAATAAGTATGATTTTATTCTTAAGACAAATATTAGCTTTTCCCAAACTAGTCACAAACTTTGTACTCTTAGTTATCCATTTATGAAATACAAATTCTTTGCAAATTTTAATTAAAATCGTCTTTTACAATTTTGTCTTTTGAAGATCGGCTCATTCTTCATGATCAACTTGTGTCTGGTCGTCATTGCCACGCAGTTCTCCGAAACAAAGAAACGTGAAATGGAGCGCATGCGACAGGAGCGAGCACGATACACATCCACATCGACGCTTGCCTCCAGCACCAACAACTCGGAACCAGCCACCTGCTATGCGGAAATCGTGAAATACATTGCGCATCTATGGCGACGCTTCAAAAGACGAATGTTAAAGAAGTACAGATTATATAAGTATGCTGGTTGTAGTTTTGATTTCATTCAATTATGTTTTTCGTTTATGTTTCTCGTTTCAATATGTTTTACTTTGATACGTTGCGTTACGTTCGCATTGCGTTTTGCATCGTTCCCACAAAGAATAAGAGACAGAATACTAAAAACTGATAACTAACAACCAAGAAATGGCTATTGAGCCTGGCCCACAACGAGGCACTCCCAGCGCAACGCAAAACGTTCGACCAATCATTTAGATTGTAGTGTTGTTGTTGATTACTAACTACTTAATACGGCCACCTATAGGCCAAGCGAATCGTATAAGCGTTTAACAGTAACTTTGAATACTAACTACTCCTGAACTTCTAACGCCCCACCAACGCCGAGTCCAGATCAAGCTGCAGTTATTGTTATTTTCGTATACTTATTTACATTTTTCCATAATTTTCCCATTGCGTTTAATTTTAATGGCAAGCCCAAAAGTATGCAACAAGATTTCATTTGCGTTACAATCTGAAGGCAAGTGCCAAAGCGTTCAAATCAAAACTTGTTGCGCAACTCAAGGGAGTGAAGGGGGCGATGGGCAACACAGACAACAATTTGCAGCTGCCAACTGGCACCTCCATCCCACTCCACCCCACCCCGCCTACGCGAACGCCCACGCCCACAGCCTGCACAGCTGCAAACGCCCGCAATTTGGCCACGTTTTTATTTCATTGCATTTTATTTATGGCACTTGAGTTTCATTCGCTTACCAGCTTCGGTTACTCTCTATGATTTTTATTATTACATACACATACATATATATGTATAAACATGCATATGTTTGTGTTGCTTTCCTTTTGTTGCATTTTGATTTATTAAAAATTCATTTAGCATGCGCTTGTCGTGCATTTCGTTGTGCCCTCGTGCGAAGTGCACGCACGTGCCTCCCTTTTACAATACTATTTCTTTTGTTGTTTTATTTGCCACGTTCTGTTCTTTGCTGTCAACTTTGTTACATTATATATTTTTGCTCTTTTGTTGTGAGTTTTCCCTGTTTGGTTCTTTTATCCCTTAATAGTTGATAGTGCATTGCAAGAGAATTTTGAAAGCGATTACTTGAAACTTAAAACCAAAAATTATAAGCCTAGTGCGTAGTGCGTACTTATTTGAAACCTAGTGCATTAAGTCGCGGCATGACTAGCATAGAGTTTAGTCCATAGTCCTGCTTACTGAGCTAATCCTTCATTGTGCATACGAACAAAAAATATGCTCAGCCAAACACTTACATATTCCGAATTCACCTTATATCGATTGATTAAAGAATCGTTTTTTTATGTTTGTTAGAAAAATGTTGCGAGTTTTCAACAAAAAAAAAGAGCATAGCTAAAAATTGTTAAATAAACTCGTATCTAAATCAATTTCAATTTTCGCAGCCGAAGAGTCTAAAGTACGAAGTTTCGCTCTCTCCATTACGCGATAATAAAATAGAGCACCACTCTTCAATTTTTTTTCTACTTTTTTGAACACTTGGAGTTGATGAAGAAGAACATTGCTAATTAATTTCTGTAATTATGTTAACGGGTCGTGCAATAATATTCGTTTATGGTTTCTCTTCCTTTAATTCAACTTATTAAAGCTGATAAAAGAATTACCTTTATATACAGAAATGAGTTCTACAATTGAGCATATCAAGAAAAATAATAAACAAATAAATATGTAAATTAATAATTGTCACTGCTGTTTACCCTTGTAGAGTATTTAAGAGAGTATTTATTTAATGTATAATCAAAAGCTCTCGACAAAAGGGAGAAACACCTAAACTACTCCTTTCATGTATCCATTAGTTATGTAGTGGATGAAGTAAGCGTATAAACGTCATCCATCCATATCCTCGAATACTCGGCAATTGTTAAGTGAACAATAGTTTGAGAACATACTCGGGAAAATGCTTATTTAAATCATTTGCCTTATGTATTGTTGCAGTTCTGTCATGTTATTGTTGTTGTAAAGCTTATTTGCGCTGTTCATTTGATTGACTTATGTAATTGTTGTCTAATTGTTAAATGTTGAGTACACACAGCGTCACAGCCACACAGCCACACAGTCCACCCACAGTCCGCTGTCCAAAGAACACGGCGCGCCTACAGCTTACACTAATGACTAACGCACACGCTTCCGGCCGCACGTCTGACAAGCCACCAGGCCAGACCCAACACAACCCAACCCAACACAACCCAAGCCAACCCAAGCCAACCCAACCCAACCAATCACACACAGACAAATCACACAGAGACACACTCACGCACACACTGTGACGCCACGCTGTTTGTGTACATGTGTCAAGCCTGTGATTTCCACCCGCTGTGATGCCAAACTAATCAAATCGATGTTTTTCATGCTGCCGCCCACGCCACTCCTCGTGCTTCTCGTCCTGATGTCGTCATCATCGCCGCAGGTACCAGCGCCAACAGCGCAAGGAGGGACTGCTGCCCAATGCAGACAACCTGACGTTTTCGCCATCCCGTATCAAGTGCCACCATCCGAAGTGTCCCAAGTTCAGCCATCGCAAGCCGTCCAACATACAGGATCAGATGATAACCGTCATGGTGCCGCTCAATTCGAATAACAACAATAATAGCAGCAGCAACAACAACAATAACAATCACAATGGAAATAGCACCAACGTTCAGTCGCCACGTCCCTCTCCGAGCACCGCCGGCAGTGGTGGCACCAACGCGGCCACCACCACCGTAGCCCTCGTAAACGGTATCAATGGCAGCACGGCCAGTGTGGCAACAGCAGCCGCTGGTGGACTCTACGGCAGCTACGTCAGCGCCCAGCAACTCCAGCAGCCCCAGCAACACTCCTCATCGGACAACACTGAACAGTCCCTCGAGTGTCCTGGCAGCAGTGGTAGCGGTGCACTGGGAATACGCGGCTCATCGCTAAAAAGGTCCACCCACAACCAACTGAAGCCCGAAGGCAGCAGCGCCGAGCAGAAGACAATTCTGCTTAAGTTTCCGCAGCAGATCATCGACTCGGAGCAACTGATTGTAAGTATCGAGAAGAGATCTTCCATTTACATATGTATGTCTGTCATAACACGCCACGCCCCTCACGCCTATCAGACCGCTGAACACAAAACATTTGACCACGCCCGAAAAGCAATAACAACAACAACAAAATGCTTAACAAAAACCTTTAAAATTCTGGTAAAAGTAGTAAATCAGACCACAAATACTACAACAAATGAAAGGAAAAACAACTTTGGCCAAGCCGAAGCTACAATACCCTTCACAATCGTTTTTGAGTCATACCGAATGAGTCTTCGTGTTCAAAAACTACAACTCGAACATATTCGTTTACATTCAAAAGTTTCAATAGCACTTCAATTAAATGTAACTCGCTAAGCCAAAATGTTCATGTAATGTCCGTTCTTGCAACCGACTATCGCCTAGTCGTCCGATCTAAAAACAACCTCCAACTACATATACTAAAATATTTACGCGAGTGCTGGGCTTTCATTTTATGTGCAGCACATTTCAAATTTCAAAAGGATATTTTCTTTGAGCCATAATCTCAGACTATCTATAAAGCTAGAATCAAATCAAATGTTTGCCATCGAACAAAGAAATGAAAGGAGCTCAGTGGTCTCCAATGCTGGGTAATTGTGAAGGGTATAACAAATACAACAACAACTAAAACAAGAATGTGCCATGCAAATATAATATAATAATGCTCTTTCACGTTTGTTATATAAATAATGCACGAACTTGCAGCTGCAGTTGGGAAATTTAGGCAAGGTATTGAATTTAAAACAACAATTCACCAAAAAGAAAAACAAAACAAAACAAATATAAAAACAAAATTGATAAACGTAACAATGAACGAGGAAAATTAAAGCACAAAACTGAACTAATCCGTCCTTATGTACAAATAAAATACAAAAACTAACATAACAAATTCAATTTATATACTATACGTAGCAATATCCCATTGATCAATTTATTAACGCTCTATGCTATAGCATTGTTCCATTAAATTGATAATTAGTGCCAAAATGCAATTTTTTTCGTTGAATTTTCTTTGTGTTTGTATGTAAATATTTCATAAAATATTTATCTGTTCATTGCAAAGCGACTCTATGGGCATATCATATACACACGTATAAATACTCTTATGTTTGTTAAGGCAAATGCCACAACAGGACTTTTGTGGGACCCATGCGATTAATATCGAATCAAAATTGCTTTTCAAATGGCCGAACTCGTATCTTGAGGCATGCAAACAAAGCTTTGTAATAAAAAAATAAATAAATAAATAGTTTTTCCGTAAAGGAAAAGCACAAATAAATTGAAAAAAATCGTCAGGTTCTGAAAAAAACACCGCTGCATCATCCTATTTACGAAAATTCGCTGAACTCTTGACATCCGATTAATCAGGATGTGCTGGAAAGTTCTTTCTGCCGAATTCCATCCAAAATCACACTCGTAGACGCCACAAAAACTATTGATTGGTTTTTAAATAACTCGTAGCTTAAGAAGGCGTATAGAAGAAGAATTTCATAATTTATTTTTTCCTGTACGAATTTAATTTATTGTTTTATCAATATTTTAGAAACTTCCTAGTAAAGCACTGGAGAATTGTTCTAACTGCACTGTTCAATCATTTTTTGAAGAAAAAACATTCTACATTAAGAAAAAAAAAACTCGAATAAATATAAGCTGAGGAATTGCGTAATAGTTGTGCAATTTAATAGAACCATTAATAAGCGAAGGCAAACGTTTATTTTTGCTTAACTGGCAATTTCTTTTTCTGTCCTTTTTCCAAAATAGAACAAGTATCCTTAATATAATCTTCCTCAAATATCATTTCATTTGCGAACAAGCACCTCAGAAAGGTTAAAATAAACACGAGTCTACAAAATAAGACCGGTGGGCCAGAAAGCTCTAGTTGATTTAATTGTACTTTATTTAACTTTATAATTATATTCTTGAAGCAATCAATGTTTTAGGAATTGTATTCTTGATAAAGTTGAAAAGAAAGTCATTATTTGTATATAAATAACCATTCACCATAAATCACAGCAAATGTATATAAGTATTATAGTTTGCCTATCACAGCATATATGTATATACATGCGCTCCTCTTAGCCCTTTAACTGTAAATATATTTTAAGTTGATCCATACAACAGTATAATTGGTACCGATGTAGACTTGGATCCTAGTTGCCTCACCGAAAATCGTTTGTTATATGTATGATTTTCAAAGATACAAAAACGGTTGAGCATTGTAGCAGCCACTTAAATGAATATTAATTATTCATCTGTCATCGGCTATTGATGCAACCATACTAGGTTAGGGACCCACTTGAGTCGGACAGCTCAACATAACAAAACAAAAACAACAATCTGCCATTTTAGGTTCTGCTGCTTTTCCTTGTATGCTTGCGTCTTATTTTTGCCTCATAGTACTTGCGATTGCGAACCAAATTTAAAAAGTTGCACCCAACCATTTAATGCCAGGACTTGAAAACGAAACCCCTACTAATTGCCAATTCTTGCCTGCGACGCCACGGTTTGTGGCGCCTTCTCTTTCTCTTTTGTTCTTTTTTTGGCGGTGTTTATTTTAGAGTCATCCGTGCACCTCGGGCTTCCTCAGCCCACCCACATCGGTTAGCCGGAGGCCATCGGTCATGTTTAATGAGTACGTGCTGCTTCATACGCCGCCCGCACTTAGTGCTGAGCCCACAGGCAGCGGCACTGTAAGCGTAAGTGGCGTAAGCGGCGGTGGTGCTGCAACCGCCACAGCCACGTCCAACATAAATGGAGTGGCCAGTGAGAAGAGTAACATCTTCTCAACAGAGAAAATGACACAGGCCGGCGATGGCAGCATCTGGCAGGTGAGTCCCATAAAGCAAACCGTCACAAAAACACTTCGAATCTACAATTATAAACTCATGCATCTAGGTGAATCTACCGCAGACCATCGGCACCATAGCCAATCCATATGCAGAGTGCTCTGAACTGGGTATACACGACGCGATGACTTGTCAAGAGCTCTTAGCATTTTCTGTGGCCTTTTCAGCGGCATTGCCCACGGGTCAAAGCACGCTTGAGTCATTTTACTCATCGCTCGCACGCTGTGATCCCCACACGGCCGAGGCGCTGAAAAACCAACACAAGCGTACAGCGGGAGTGGCCGCAGTCGCGTCCACCGCATCAGCTCCAGTCTCAGGCCCAGCCTCAGCCACCGGCTCAGCAACGGAGCAGCAGCAACAGCAGTCAGCGGCGTCAGATGGGCCCGTTGCGGCCGTCGAGCTGAGCACTGCGACTATGACCGGCTCTGTTTGCGCCGAGACGCAGACGGCGAGTCGTCGCAAGGAGACACAGCCTCAGCCACAGAACTACCATCACAGCAACAACAATAATAATGGTAGCCACAACAACAATGGTCAGCAGCATGGCACCAGCGGCAATGGAGGTGCCGGCGCCGGCACTGGCAGCAGCAGCGGCAGAGCTCGAGCCCTTGGGCTGAGTCATAGACAAACTGGCAATTATATGGAGGATTATGCCTGCTGCTACGATCTGTATCAGAATGCGCTTTCGCCGCTAGATGAAAGACGGCGCCAGTGGTCTCCAGCTATGCGTGGCATAATTGCAGTCTATCGCTGCCTGTCCAGGGTTTGCAGCGTCATCCGCCGCTATATACGACGTCTGGTCGAGCACAAGTACTTCCAACAAGGCATACTCTTGGCCATACTGATAAACACACTATCGATGGGCATTGAGTACCATAACCAGCCAGAAGAGCTGACGGCCATTGTGGAGACAAGCAATATTGTATTCTCGGGCATCTTTGCAGTGGAAATGCTGCTCAAAGTCGTAGCCGAGGGGCCGTTCCGGTATATTGCCAACGGCTTCAATGTCTTCGACGGCATCATTGTAATTTTAAGGTGAGTGTGAGAGAGCACAGTGATTGTGTTGCGTTTAGAGTCTAGGCTCTACCCTCAACTTACCTTTAACTTTTGCCGCATACCAATTAGCGCCATTGAGATATGCCAGCAATTTTTGGGGAACGGAACTGGAGGTGGGGGCTCTGGTCTCTCGGTTTTACGCACATTTCGCCTGCTGCGCATCCTTAAGCTCGTGCGCTTCATGCCCAATTTGCGGCGCCAACTGTTCGTCATGCTGCGCACCATGGACAATGTGGCTGTATTCTTTTCTCTCCTGGTACTTTTTATATTCATATTCAGGTGAGTCCGACTGGCTGCGGCCTGCTCCAACCACTAACCAAACAAAGCCTACAAGTTGGGGCTCACACAGATACAGATACATACACAGACACAGATACAGATACAGGCACAAATACCGAAAAAGACACACACTGACACCCCCAATAACTAAATCCATAAGACACATTTACCTACTACTTACATATACTCGTATACAACTCGTAAAGCTTTTTCGGTAAAGGCGAACCAAAGATAAAAAGCGAACAACGATTGACTTCATTTTTAACAAAAGCAACTATTAAGAAATGTGATAACTATCTTGATAAATATCTACTATCGGCGTATAAATGTACATATGTATCCGTACCAAGGCATCGAACGTTCCCACCACACCCTAACCAGTCCAGTCCAACAATTCTAGCAGATATGTACGTCATAAGCGACAGACTACGGCTCTAAGTCGCGTACAGGTGCAGGGGCTAACGGAGCTCCGAGAATACGTTCGGGCATATACTGCTTATATACTCCTAACCATAGCTACAAACAGTTGAACTTTCTAGCATAGCAGTCGTCTAACGACTTTATAGATTTGATACTAATACTTGTACTTGTACTCGATATTATAGCAAAGTAATGCCCACTAGACATATTAATCCAAACCCCAGATCCGCAGTGTTCAGAAAACAAATACTCCAGCACACGAACAGCTCCGATTTTCACATACTCTCACACCTAAACTCTGCCCCTCTCTGTCTCTATTTCAATCTCTCTTTCTCTGCCACATGCTCTTGCTCTTTAACCTCAAAACATTAATACACTAACACACTCGTCCTTTTTTAACGGTACTAAGTCCCTCTTTCTTAAGCTCTCTTACTCTCATTAAATGCCACACGCACTCAATTGTTAAATTTCGCTTCTTTTTTACACCCTCTCCTAACCAATTCTAAAGCTCTCTTCCATAATACACACACACACGACATGTCACAAGTTCTCTTTTTATGTCCTTTGGCCCCCCAATTACCCCTAAGAATCAATCGAATTGCTCTGATATTACTATAACCGTTTTTATGCTTCACAACCACATATTCCTTCTAATTCTACGTACCATTTGAGTATTTGAGTAATCATTTGCGTAAGTCTTTCGAAGTAAGAACTGTTCTTACAGCTGCCTTAATGCCTATTTTTCAATATCGCTCTTACTCTCTCTCCTCTCTCTTACTCTGTATTTTGCTATCATCAAGAAAAGTAGTTAGCGTTTCATTGAAACTTGCGATTAACTTGTACGAAATGTTTTAAGTAAAACCTACAAGTTCAAAGAGTGTTTACTTGCTCTCGCTCGTTCTTACGATCTAACGTTCTCTCACTCTCTCTCTATCTCCGACTCACTTCCACTCTATGTCCTTCTAAAGCTCACTGTCTCTTACTGCTACAATTTGTCGTTCTCTATGACTCGTTAGCTCACCTATTTGCATTCGAAATACACACCCACACACATACATACACACACAATAACTGACACAACGACACGAACCCAAGTACACCCCGATGCAGACAAAACACCGTAATCTTCTTTGTTATTTTTCTCATAAATTTGCTCACTCTTCAATACTAAAAATCCGTTACATACTATACTTTATGACTAAAGCGTACTAATATTTTCTTCATTATCTTTATCACTCGCTCATGAGCTACATATTTCGAAACCGAACTTTTCGAACAACTCTAAATTTAAATGTTTTTCTTTATTTGGTTTGCACAATCACAGACATACACACACACTTCAAAAATCGTCACTACAACAGCAACAACAGTTACAACAATTAGTTAGTTAGCCAAAGCTTCATTCAATTAAATTAACTAAATGTGTGTCTTAGCTTTTTAGCGTTCCTAACAAAAACAACACAAACAAATACGACACGAAACCCGAACAAAAATATACAAACTCGCATTTTTTATTTATGTATCGAACTCATTCGAAGAAGTTCGCAGCACCTACACGAAACACTCGACGACGTGGTCGCGGCGCCTGCGTGAGCAGCTTCGAAAGCTTCGAAAGCTTTCGCCAGCAGCCACGCAAGCTTTTATGCTCAAAGCACCTAAGACACAAACACTTACACACACGCACACGCCCACGCACACAATATAAAAGTACTTTGAAATCGTACGCTTATTGTGTAGTTGCAGTCGATGCAGTTTGAAATATACATATTTAAATACATTATCTAAAATAAAATATTCGTATACTACTACTATTACTACTACTACTATTATATATATATATATATATATATACTTATATATACATATTCGATTTACTCGTATATAAAAATACATTTGATTTTCATTGAGTTAACCAAAATAAGAATCTTAATAAAACAAAACAAAAGAGCAACTACTAAAACAAAATTAATGAAAGTTTAGTTAGCTTAGTTAATCTGTTTGTGTAGTTAGAAGCAATAGCAATAAAAACAGACAACAACAAATACTAACACAGCTCACATACTCGTATACAAATGTTTGAAAAGCATAAGGAGCAGAAGGAGCAGAAGTTGCGGCTGTGCTACGGTGAACCCACTTTATAATTGCTATCAATAATGAATTTGTCGGGTACTTACCTTCTGCTCTATCTGTTACTTCAACAGCGTCTGCAACATGCCATATTCCTACTTAATCCAATGCCAAGTCTAGAAAAAACAAAATAAATTAGAATTAATTATGAAATACCAGTGCCCGCTTAGTACTCAACCACGCAGCGACGTCGCCAGCAACACAACGTACAAAAAATAATCCCAAAACCCAAACGCAAAAGATTAACTCATAACTAATAATCAAAGCAATAAACACAAATAAATTCTATTAAATGAATTGATTCAATAAAAAAGGAAAATAAAATCTGTAATTCTATTGTTCCCACTTGAAGCTTAATCTCTTGACACACTGCAAGCAATCATTTTAGTTCGGCTTTTGGACTCATCTCAGTTTCTCACTCCGACAAAAAGGTTATGCCCAATATGCTCTACTATATGTACTTTCCTGTATAAATGAGATGTATGAGTCAACTTGTTTATAAGTGTAAAACATCTGCGTAACAAATATATTTGTCTCACAACAACAAGAAAAACAAGATACCTCTGTCTCGCCCCAGCCAAGATAGTAAATTGCATATTATAGCCTACTTCTGCGTATGCCTCAACTTCATGATAGATCAAATGGATTCCATATTCTCCAATGATGTTTTCGCATTGCGAAGTTTCCTCATTATGTCGAAATGTCGAATTTTCGGTAGCTGTTACCACGCAAGTGGAAAAGGCGCTTTATTCAAATTAAGGCAGCATACTTTTAGGCTTTATCCTTTGAGTTTCTTTCTTATGCTCCTAAAAGAACCCTGGCACGCAACTGCGTAATAGAGAAATACCTAAAGTGTAACGGATGTTTTACGGAAGCAGGAACAGCTTTTTCGTTATCAATTTTAATGGCTACAAAATATGTTCCTGATATCAATAAGAGGAACAAAGCCGACTCGAATTAATTAAGTGTTTTCTTCCCCAAATGAAGCAGAGTTCATAATAATGCTTTTCCGGCTTACAAAACACTGAGAGCTCAATTTCAGTTATGGATATGGATATGCTTGACCTTAAACTCAATATGGCCTGCACCTTTTTAGGTCCCCGCAGTATATTTGATTTCTTAATACTTTAGTTTAAACTTTTAAAGGCTTCTCTATACTTTTACAATTGTGCTTAGCTGTAATTTCTAACTATCGCTCGCCCGCCGCTCACTTACAAATGGACACTTTCGCTCACCCACTCTGTCTCTCTCTCTCACACACACATTCTCTGTTTCTCTCTCTCTCTCTCTCTCTTTCTGCCTTAACTATCTCTATTTCTCTCTTTTGTATTTGTATCTCTCTTTCTCTCTGTTTCGCCTCACAATTGTTTGATTGACATACTAAAAATGAAAATAATTTAATGTAATTAACTTTCATAAAAACCCAAAATAAAATTGTATGCTAAAACTGAAATAAAAAACAACACAAAACCCAACAAAACACAAGAATAAATATATTATATATATATGATTACCGAAATATATATACATATATATTATATTATATATCAATAAATACAAAAACCAAACCATCACTTTAGTATACTCGGCATGAATCTGTTCGGATGTAAATTCTGCGAGAAAATTAATGGAGAGATGATTTGCGATCGTAAGAATTTCGACAGCCTGCTTTGGGCGCTCGTCACAGTGTTTCAGGTAGACCTATTGTTCAGCATATATGCCTCTATATATATATATACAAATATTATATATAAATAAAATATCTATATATACTACTATTACCTAATACTTCTACACCTACCTGTTAAAAATTAACATCAATGTTAAACAAGAGCAAGCTTTTTTTTTGTAAATGTATACTCTTTCGTTCCGTATGTTTTCCATCAGTTATTTGTTGTCTTTGTTTTTTCTTATTACGATTTTTCTGTGCGTCCGTTCGGTTGTTTGTTTATCTATTTGTCAATTTGTTCGTTTCGTTTGATGACTAACCATCCAGAGCTTTGAATTCCAACAATATAATTTGCCAAGCTTGCTGCCCTGCTCGCATATTTTCTACTATTGTGTTGCGCCAATTCGAGACTATCGCGACTGTCATTATGTTATTGGAAGCATAAAAGATATCTACAGTAGTATTATCTACAAAATTCCTTTTAGCTTAAAACAGACAAAATCGCGTCGCGATAGTGCTCACAATTGTGATTTCATATGCTTTTAGTTCGTTTGTTATTTTTTGTTTTTATTTAAAATTTAGTTTAACGCCATTTTATGGTTTTGTTCCTGCATACATATACATACATATGTACATACATACTTTATACTTTACGTTTTGTTATTTCTCGTTTATTGTTGCTTGTGTTGCTTTTTCTGTACAGTTCATTGTTTTAGTTTTGCCTGCCGCTGCCGCGAGCTGTGCTGCCCCCCCTCGCTGGCCCGCTAGCTCGCTCGCACTAATTTGTGGTGTGTATTTCAATGTGCCCATATTATTTTTATTCAATTAGAGAACTAATTGCGTCACTACACAAAATCAGAACCAGAGCCAGAATCAGAATTAGCAAATAACCAAAAACAATTAACAATTAATACGCCAGCACAGCCACAAAATACTAATACAACAAAACAACCAACTTACCAACCAACAATTATAAAACCAACAACAGCAACTACAACAACGAAATGCGTACAAAAAGTTGCATGTGAATTTTTCGTTTGAGTTTCGTAGCAAGCAGCGCGCATCTGCATGTCGTTTACAGTAATGTAGCTTTTGTTAATCTCAACAAAATGATGCCATTAACGGCATATGCATACCTATGTACATATATATAAGTGATACTATATAATTAAACATAAAAAAAATACGCGCAGGTAAGCATTATAACGAACTGAATAGACTGCTTGCCATTTCGGGGTCTCTTGCTCTTTCTGCGCCTGGTCATCCGTCACCTAACTGTGCCTAGCCACTGTACGTATGTATGTATGTACGTATGAACGTATGCGTGTATATTTCTAAGGCATGAGGCGCATGCGAAGCCATCAAATACAACACACATACATACTTATATACACAGGTCGAAACTCATCTCCAAAGTGTGCACACGTGTACACAATTGCATACATCCTTAATTGCTCTTTGCCCTCCTTCTCTTTCTCTTGGGCACGCATGCTGACTTCCTCTCTCAACACCTTGTTAAACAACAAGAACCCCTCTTAACAAATTTTTTCTCTAATACGTGTTTGAAATTTTCCCATCGAAATACTTATTTATGTCTCTGTGTATATGTATGATTTATTATGTTCATACTCTCTAAATGGTTCAATACTACTTACATACTTACTAATACTTATGTACTTCTTATGGCTACTTTTTTCCATTTCACACACTACCACCACCACCACCACCAACAACAACAACGAACTTAAAGACAATCTGCTCACCTTTTTGCCTATTAAACAGCACTACTCCTATTACTAAGTATATTATATTCTAGTATCTAAGTTGTATACACAAATAGAAACCCCGCAAGCCAAGCAAACAACCAAACAACCAAACAACAAAAACAAACCGAAACACAGTGCACTCTCACACGCATACAAAACTATAAACTTTAACTGTAAACTATACCAAACTAACTGTACCCTCTTAAACTTTGGAACTCACTTCCGCTCAGTATCCGGCACAAAAACAGAAACAAAATCAGATATATACACACCCGCACATACATACTCTCACACATACATCCACATACTATACTTTACACCCATATACATACATATGTACCATATGTCCTATATACTGTAAGAACAATCTCTAGTATTTGTCAGTTACCATCTAGGCCCACTAAACTGTAAAATAAATACGTTTACTTTGCTATGCTCAACTTTTGTCACATAAAAAAAAACAACCAACAAAAAAAATGCAAAATTAAACACACACATATCTACAGACAAACAGACAGGTAGACAGACAGACAAACACAACATTGTCAGCGCCCGCAGAAACAGTAACAGAATCAGAACCTGAGCCTTCTGTACATAAACAGCCAGTAAACCCCACAAAGCCCACAAACTCCAACTCTCTTGCAAAACGAAGGCCAGCAAAAACAAAAACAGCCAATCAACCAATAAAAACTGATCCACAGTCCAAAACCCGCTCAGTCTTGAACAAAAATAAACAGCAGATTAGCAAAAGAACATGTTTCCTACAACATACCTACTCGTATATAACAGCAACTCTCTTTCTATATACATATAAAAACGCCATAGTTTATATGCAATACATATACCTATATATACTTATATACATATATATATATTTATTATTTTTGAAAGCATTGGACAAGGAAATGAAATACGACAACTTCGGCCTGCCGAAGTTTTCATATGCTTTTCATAAGGCTCTACCATGAAGCTATTAAATAAATAATGACATACATATTTTCGATCAATTCGAGTTTCAATTCAGTTCACCAGTTCATTTAAATTATATAGTAAGATCACCTGAAGGGGACACAGGCAACCTCAGGAGTGTCGCATCAAAACATTTCATTTGGAACCCCACATCGGAGAAACAAACAAGATCCACAATTGTATATATGTATATACATATATTTAGCATATAGTACTTACTATGGGGCACAAATATGAAAGATATGAAAACAAGTGCTAGAATTTTACCAATGAAAAGTATGTGAAAGTATGTGAACCCCTTGACCTATGAGAGTCTCTATATATAGATCTACTACTATTTATTACTACTCGTTTATATCATGTGAATCGCAACTACATACATACCAACTATTTATATATATATATGTGCATACATCTATAACTATATATATACATATATATACATATATATATAAAATATATATAAACCTACAGCATACTCGGCATGTATCTGTTTGGCGGTAAGTTTTGTAAATTTTTGGACGAATCCGGACTCGAACGTGAATGCACGTGTCCAGAAATTATCAGCCGACATCCGCAATGTGAATGCGATCGCAAACACTTCAACAACATTTTGTGGGCCACGGTCACTGTTTTCCAAGTAAGAACAACAACAATAACAAACAAATACAACAAATACAGCAAACGAAAGCATTTTACTATACATATATATACGATTTATATATGTATATATATATATATATACTCGTATATAAATAAATGAAATCAATATCTCATATCAAAGATACAAAGCGCAAGACTCAACAATTAATTGATTGAGAAGCGTGTCTATAACTCTAGTTTTTTCCTCCAATTTGTTTTTTCAGTTCCATTCTCAGTTTACCCTTATATGTATCTTTTTTAACTACTTTACAAATTTGGTACACCTACCTATACATACATACATACTTATAATATAATCAGCGCAGTTTAGTTGTTGCCCATATCTATGCCTATTTGAGTTTTTGAGTCTTCAATTCATAAACAAAATCTATTTAGTTTACACAGCCACTAGTATTAGAGACACAAGTACTTCCCCCCACTCACATAGGCATAAATACACACATACATACATACATATATACAAACATATACACGCTCAGGACCACAATCAGTGCAATAAGCACGCATACAGCGTTCGGCTCACTCACGTACTCACATTCTCACGACTGGCGTCGACATACAATTTCTTCCGGGGCGTGCCATATGGGCTATAGTCAGTCTATTGCCCGATGGCTGGCCGTGTAAATATAATAAACAACACATATGTGTACATATACATGAAAGCTCGTTCAATATAACTTTTATTAAACGCTGTACTTTTTTTGCTCTCAAGCTCTTTTGTCACTAAGACCTTTACATACTCGTACATGCATAGTCGTACATGTCAAAAGATCGTAGATGAAGAAATGTATACAACTTATTAATCAATCCATGTCATAGGCACAGGATATTGCAGAAAACCCCGTTTGCAATTCCAGAAATTATTTAAAAATATATCGAAAAATCGATGCATCAATTTTTTTTTTTTTTTTATATTGATACCTCCCAATGCTTACACTTTCTAGCAAATTAAGAAACTCATTACATAAAGCATATTTTCATAAACCGGTATTAAATTCGTGCGTTGCTCCGCTTAAGGAATTGTTATTTTTTTAATGATTGAATCATTAAGTGTGATAGAAATCGTAGAATTGGTGTATTGTACCTGTATCACAAATTTGAGGAAATGCCTCCTTAACAATTTCACGAAAACCAGTATAATTTTCGGAAAACAGATGTTAAATATACAATGCTTTTAAAAACATGGTTGCATGGAATCAGAATGGGCTGCTGCCAATTGTGAAAAATCGGCTATACCACAACGTCCTGTCAGTCCCGCCTGCATACCTACACCTCTTATCCAGAAACCAGAACAACAAAAGCAGCACATTCAAATTTTAGAAGAAAACCACCTTTAAATCCACACTAGCTTTGCAAATAATTTTTTTAAACGTTATTTTTGATTTTAATAAAATAAAAAATTATTGTAGCAGTCATTCTAAGCCTTTCCCACCAACGCAGTTGTAACTAACTAGCTTCTTGCTAAAAAATTAGTATAATATGTAAGAAAATTATGTAGAATTATCGTGAAATTTTAAAATTTTGTTCCTTTATCAGACTTATATTTAACTCTCTAACAATTTCAAACGCGTTGATGCATCAATCTTTCGTGTCCGTAAAATAATTTTTGGAGTTTGATATTGCCATTGTAAATAGTACTCGATCCTTTAATTATTAATCTTAAGATATTAAACATACTTTTTTAGGTGAAATCATTTGAATTAAAGAATTCAAAACTAGGTCCTGAGTTCAACCAGTAGTAGAATATAAATGTACATAATGATTGAACACAATGTTCATCTTAGTTGTAATCAGCTGCAATGAAGAAAAATGTCGATCACTACGGCGCTAAGTGACAAATTTTTGTGTTCAACTTTCTTAAAACTGATCCATTGCATATACATTGGTTTAGTTAGATATCAAGTGGAATAAACAAAGGTCAGTTATGGAATTAGCGGGTCCAAATCTTTTCAATCTTAAATTTTTATGGTCACTTAGTGTTATAATTGCATTTCAAATCTCAATTATTTTAATATTAACTACAAAAATAAAAGAACGCTGTATATTTATAATGTAGCTATAACTTTGTTGGTCACCCACAACATAAAGGCCGTACTCAATACATACATTCCATAATCGAACATTTTTCACTAAGTTTTGTTGCATGATTTACGAACTTTGAACCTTACTTTGCCCATTTACTTTGCCTTTTGTTTTGTCGTATGCAACGCCAGAAAAATTATATATAATATTGCTGTTACTTTTCACATATATGCAAAATCTATATATAGATAAATAAAAATAGGCCGTAAAAACGTATGTAAGCTAAGATTTGAAGTTTCGTTTGGATTTGATCTTTTGAAAGCGCTTCGTTCGTTGGTTCGCTCGTTTTTAAATGCTGCTGCTCCCTCCTGTTTTTAATTTTTTTTCCTCCGACATATAGCGAAAAATTCTCATTTGCTGCTTTTTGCGCTTAGCAAACTATTAAATAAAAAAAGAAAGAAAATATTTTTAAACTAACAACAAAAATGCAAAATTAAAACATATCTTAATTTATTATAGAGAAAAATAACAAAACCGCATATTGTAAATACAGCAACGCAGTTTTAAAAACAATAACATTTAAAAAACAACAAAAAACAAATACTTATTGGCACGCCGTGGGGAAAAGTTAACAACGACTATTTTATTATATACATGCAATATTTATGCAAGCATTTTGCGTTTGCTTTTTGTTTATGTGATGAGCAGCTGCGTTTTTATTATTATTTACTATTTTAGTCCTTGCTTAATTTTCAGTGTTGCCACACGCTCACACCACGAATTATTGTTTGACTATTTAATGCAGCATACTTTCGGGCTGTGCCGAGCTTTTTTTCTGCCTCTGTCTGTGCCGCTATAAACGCATTTGATTCTTCCGTTTTTGTTCCTGTTATTGTTTTTTTTTTCATTTTGTGTGTTTCCTGTATTTTTCGTGCATTTCTTTGAGTGCTTGTCACATTGGCCGTTGATTTTAATGCGCTGCTGCAGCTTTATTAGGTTGTTTTTTAAACAAAAATTGTACTTATGGTTATGTGTTGAAAGTCAGTTACGTTCTTAGCACACCAGCCTTAAAAATACAATAAATTTAAACATAATAATGAGAATAATTTGTAAAGACGCTGATTTTATGTGAGATGCTCCTCGGCAACTGCGGCGCACTCGCAATTGGGCCAGTTTCGTTGCATTTGCCTTGGACCATATGCACATGAAATGTGTCTCAAACAACAGCTTACATATGTATGTATGATTAACTCTTTGTTTTGTTGTTATGCTTTCTCAAATACGTTTTGTTTGTTAAGCTTAATGAGAAGGTTGAAGAGATACATTTTATAGAGTTTAAACAATACATATACTCGTACATATAACTTTTGTGCTCAAATATCTAACACATTGCCGTTTGCTTCTCCAATATGTTTTTTGTGCTCTCTTTTCTTACTTTCGTTTAATTCCATACATGTGTTTACCATTTTTTTTTGCTTCTTTCAAACAAAATATATATATCTACTTTATATACAAAATCTGTATGTAAACTGCACCACGTTCGCCGCCACTGCAACAACTACAACAAAACAACAACAACAACAACTACGCAAAAAAAAACTGTTTTTAGATACTCACACAAGAGGATTGGAACGTCGTGCTGTTCAACGGCATGGAAAAGACAAGTCATTGGGCCGCATTGTACTTTGTGGCCCTAATGACGTTCGGCAATTATGTGCTGTTTAATTTATTGGTGGCCATTTTGGTTGAGGGATTCAGTTCAGAGGTAGAGTTTTGCCAACACCAACAACAAAATTTATCTTAAATACATCTGCAAACTGTCAAGGAAGCAGTTTTTGCCAGGCGAGCAAACTGAATTCAAAAAATCAACCCCATTAATGCCCATAACATTTTCCTATCCCAAGTCCTGCTCTTTGATTTTAATTTGCTCGCCTGGCATCAATTTCAATGAGCCCAGATTAAAAACAATTTAAAAAAATTGGCTTGTCACAATATTAAATTCGATTCGACAAACGATATACGACATTTCAAAATCGAATGGCGATGTTTAAATCAATGAAAAAATATGAGCATTAATCTGCAATCAGTCGGTATTATATTATTAATTAATTGTATCTTGGACAAGTTAAAGTTAAAGTTGCAAATCAATACAATGTACATCCTAAATGATCTAATCATTTCTGAATTCATATTAATCAATTGGATATTCTCTTATCATCAGATATAAGTAACCTAATACAATAATGTTGAAAAACATTTAATTTGCAAGGGTAATAAACTTCTTATTATCGCCACCCTTAAATTATATATAGTATTGTGATTTCTAAATCACTAAATAATTTATTTTACCATAAATATATTTTTGATGTTTTGGACACATCATTCTAAAAGCATATAAAGTAACGAACACTATCTTAGTCAATCGATGAAATGTTTTAACGTTATTGAAGAATTTATTGATATTTAAAATTCAATTGGTAATAGTAAAATAAAACATACGACAAACGATGTTTGAAAATTCGATATCCGTTATACGAAACGCTCCATGCGACCCGTTGCCGAAAAAGTCTAATTTTGAAATTTTGATTCCCTCAGCGAAATGAACGTCGCGAGCGCGAACAACGCGAATTGGTCAAAAAACTGCGCGAAGAGACATTGGCCGAAAATTATAGCGATGGTATGTACGATGAATCACGCAGCGAAGCTGATTCATCGACCACTAATGAAAGTTACTACGAGGTTCGAAACCGTTGGCGCAGCGCCGAGGATGTGCGCAAGGTAAGTGCTTGAGTGCGAGAAAGAGCGAGATATGCTAAATGGGTGAGTGTGGGCTCTTGTGGGCTCAAATGTGTGTCAGTCTGTGCGTGTCCGTGTGTGTGTGTTTTTGCATAATTTGTGTGCGAGTGCGTGACCGTTGCATGGCATGTCTATCACGTCTGCGTCTCACACTACAGCTGCAGGACTCGGCCGAGCTCATCATCGAGGCAAAGAGCAATATGCATCGCCAGCGGCTGCTTCAGCCCACCCAAGACTATCAAATAAATGAGCTGCCCGGCAGCGGTGGCGCTCTAGGCGCTGAAAAGGAGACCGGCAGGCTAATGGCCGACGAAGACAAGCCGAGAGGCGGCCTCAAAAAGGTAAGTGCAGACGCGAACAATCCCCTAAATATCCAAAAACACAGACCCCTATACCCGCTCATACACTGGCACAACACACACGCCTGTACGTACCTCGCCTCGCACACAGACATACTCCATCAAGGAAAGGCGCAGCGAGGCCTCGCGTCTCTCCAAGATAAGACTCATACGCGAGCCACCTATCATCACAACAACGGCTGCCACGCCACAGGACTCGCCAAGCACCACACTGGAGCCTGGCATGAGCTTTCGTCAGTGGGGCGATGCCGAGGTAAGTCCTATTTAACATTTTATATCCGGAGAATTAGCCGAACACTTCTTATTCAAATAATCCGATGTAAATAAAGGTAACTGCAACCGTTGAAGCAGTTAAAGCCATTACGCCAATTATTTTCTATATGTATTTGGTCCATTCTCTGGCAATAGCTTGTTTCCAACATTTCTGTAATCCAAAAAGCTAACCATGTGAGCAATGCTCCACTTTCTCTAATAAGTAAATAGAGGACTTGTAGAGCACAAAACAAAAAATTTCGGTTCCTTGCATTCGTTACAAGAATACCTAAGAAGGATCCAGGAAATCCTAGCTCATACTGGTATGGCTTCGACTTTCGAGTTGACATGAGGCGTTATGTTAATTCACAATCAAATTTTTTACAAGATATAACCTGGTTTAACTTAAAATAATAATGACAAAGTTCGGGAATACAAGGCGTATTCCAATGTAAAAAGGAATTTTAAAAAGTACGAAATAAATAAAAGTTCTTGCTACAATCAATTCAATTTATTCGAAATAGTACCCTGTGGAGGTTTTAGCTTGTTGGCCAGGATGGCCTTCAGAATAACAGTGCAAGCCTTTTGGATTGCTCCTACGTCACCAACACGCTTTCCTTTCATCGGCAAATGCATTTATCTGCATTTTTATTTCCAAAATTAGTCACAAGTACCGGCCGACGACCCAAATTTTAAGTTATCAGTCAACTTTTCCACAACGAAGCGAGAGCCAAGTCGAAATTGGTTTTGAGATATTTAATTCCATTTCTCCCCAAAGATGTCGGCCGATTTTTGATAAATGCTTTTTTGACTGCATTTTTGATAATCATGAATTTTTGATGCGACGACCATTCGTCAATCGCGTATTCAATTCTTGGACTCTGTCACGATACAAGTATAAGCGATTATCAGCTGTAACTTGTTTCATGAACTAAAACGTTTAGGATAAAGTTGTACAAAGCTTAAAAACTAAATAGAGATGGCGTTACCAAAAAATACCCTTTTTCCAAAGTGCCGTTTACTTTGTTAAATTCTTTGTGTGTATAACTTTTAGCTTTTCTTGCCAAAAAGAATTTGACAGCGATTTCGGCCTCTTTCTCTGACCCACACAATTACCGACCCGGGATAAATTCTTCTACATTCTCCCTGCTTATTCAGCCACCTAGCTCCCCATCACCGTCGCTGCTCAAGCCACCAAATATCTTCACCGGACAGCGTTCCCTGGATGAGGGCATACCCGCCATCGATCTCATACCACCGTCTCCAGTGCTGGCGCACAAGCCATTGAACATATTGAACGCCAGTCAGTTGCAGGGCCATGCCGCAGGTACGGGCAGCAGCAGCGGACAGCTGAACCAGCTAAGCAGCCTCATTCCCAGCGCTCTGGGCAGCAGCATGCACAGCGTTATTATCGATGACATCTCTAAGAATTCCAGTACCTCTGCCGCCACGGCGCCCATTTATGTACCGACTATTTCCTCAGCAGCGACTATTTCGACGTTGCAGCCTCCGCCTTCATCAGCCGGCCGTGCCCTGACCCCTGATTCGGTAGAAGGCGTCAATGAGTTGTCGCCCCTAACAGCATCGCTGCCGGGCTCAGTCAGCTCCAGCACCGCTGCAGTAGCTCCGGGGAGCGCCGCTTCAACCAGCGGCAGCTCGTCCAGCGAACGATTGCCCATAACAGGCAGCAGCTTTAAGCAGCGCTTTCGCCGCAGCAGCTCCAAAAAAAGGCCACCGCTGAAACCAACAGCGGCCGACGACAATATTGGGGCACCGGACGATGAGGAACAGCAACTTAACAATGGTAGCGACAACTCCTGCCTGTTGGGTGTGAGCGCAGCCCTACGTGGGGAGACCACCTCGGCACCTAAACACAAAGAAACCAATCGCCTGAGCCCACAAAACTCCATACGGCGACTTTCCAACACGCTGAGTATTGGCAGCGGTCCGGGCAGCAGGCGTGCCTCAGCCTGCATATTTAATTCGCAAGTGTATCAGAATCTCAATCAGCCACCCAAGCTAAAGGCAGGAGCCGGCCAGCGGCGCATGTCCTCCATCGAGCTGGCCTTCAGCAAGACCTCGCATCTGAATCTGCACAACTTGGAGGCCAATCGAAAGTCACTATCCTACACAAACTCTAAGATCGACCTGAACAAATGGGAGAAATCCTACACCAATATCAATGAACCTGACATGCTCCAGCAGTACATGGAGGCGCGCGATAAACGCAAGAACTCCATAAGCCACTACCACCTCAAAAAGCGGCTTGAAGAGAAGGAACTGCAACAGTTGCAGCAGCAGCACGAGGCCCAAATGCAGTCACAGCTACAGCCAGAGCACTTGTCCAAGGATCTTCAGCAGCAGCAGCAGCAGCAACAGCACTACCAACACCATCAGCAACATTCCATGGCTGTCAGTGGGGAGCGCGTGTCGAAACTAAAAATACTAATTAACCGTTTGACACCGAAGCACTTCACGGCTGAGCGGGAGTCGTACTCGATGTACGTCTTCCCCGAGGAAAATCGGTGAGCAATTTTACTCTGCACAGTGATACACTAATATACTCACATAAATACCTATAGAAATAAATCAAGCATATGTTGGGTTACCTTTGTACTTAAGCGCCTCATGTCCGTCATTTTTATACCCTGTACCCAAAGGGTACAAGGGTATATTAGTTTTGTGCGAGTGCACATGGAACACACAGAAGGAGGCTTGGTAGACCCCACAAAGTATATATATTCTTGATCAGCATGACAAGCCGAGTCGATATAGCCATGTCCGTCTGTCCGTCTGTCCGTCTGTCCGTCTGTCCGTCTGTCTGTCTGTCTGTCTGTCTGTATGAACGCAAGGATCTCCGAAAGTATAAGAGCTAGAATAACCAAACTTGGTATACAGATTCTCCTGAGACCGAGAAAGGACGAGTTTGTTCATTTTTTCTGATCCACCCCTCCACTCCCCCCCTATTAACGATTTTCTATAACTCCCGTAATTCTTGGAATTTTGAACTAAAATTTGGTAGACACATCCAGTTAGTAATTGTATATCCGTATACCAAGTTTCATTATGATAGAATGATCGGAAAGAAAGTTATAGCCATATAACCAGGCCCAATGCACACATACATACATATGTACAAGTACACAAACACGCATAAGGCACGATTCTGATGTAAATGTAAATGTATCTATGCATGCATGGAATATTTAGTTAATTAATTAAATTAATTTAGTTAATTAATTAAATTAATTAATTAAATTAATTAATTAAATTAAATTAATTAATTAATTTAATTAAATTAATTTAATTACTTTTTTGTGGGGTGGTACAGGGTATTTAAGAGTTGAGCCTGCTCGACTTTAGCATTCCTTTCTTGTTTCTTATCATTTTCTATGATTATTAAATAATTTAGCTGCGCCATCTATGAAACATTTTTTTCAAATTAGATAGTCCCTTTAAATTCAGTTAGAAAAGCAATGTGTACATATTTTTTTTAGAACCCTTTATTGTTTTGGTCGTGGCCGTTATATTTAAGTGAATACATATCTGCATAATTAATTGTTAAATTATTTATAATTCTAATACATATATATGTATTTGTTTTGTTTTTTTACTCTTGCTTTTCTTCCATAAAGTAGATATCAAACTTAGAGCTGGAAGATTTTCAGAAAAGAGAAAGCATAAAATGTAATATCAATGTTTCCTAAAAGTCGTTGTAGCTGAAAATTATATCTGATCGAGTCATACTAATTACTAAAGTATAGTTATAATAGAGGTTGTGTTACTAAAAAAAAACACACACACACACATGGTAACACTCTAGGGCTCTATTTTGTTCAATCTATCACTCTGTTTGCTTTGCTTAACATAACTAGTCCGCATGTGCCTCGTTGAATGCCAAATGATTGCGCATTCATACGTCATGTTACCCGCTTGACGTTGTTCGCTTATTCCGCTTTGTAAAAACGGAAATTCAATTTCAGTTTGCAATTGGGCTAACACCTTTGTTCTGTTCTTTCTGTTCTCTTCCAACAGATTCCGACAAATCTGCACGTGGTTTGTGAATCAAAAATGGTTCGACAATGTTGTGCTGCTTTTCATTGCGCTCAATTGTATTACACTGGCCATGGAACGACCAAACATCCCTCCAAGCAGCACCGAAAGATTGTTCCTGGCAACAGCCAATTACGTGTTCACCGTCGTCTTCACTGTCGAAATGTTCATTAAGGTGAGTGGCGGAGCTTGCAGTGCAGGCTCGTATATAGTACATGTACTTAATTGAGTTGTACGAGTATGCTGCTATTTTGTTTCAATTTGCAGGTAGTTGCCACGGGCATGTTTTATGGCCCGGATGCATATTTCACATCCGGCTGGAATATAATGGATGGATCTTTGGTTACCATTTCGATAATTGATTTGTTAATGTCATTGATTAGTGAATCGAGCCCCAGGATATTTGGGATTTTAAGGGTAAGTGCGTGTGTGTTACAGAACAAAGGCCAAACGTCAACTACTACAAGATAAGCAATACAGCAACAACTAGCACAACAACAACAATGATGCCCATGCGACCACGGCCATAGCCACGCCCACAATTGGCACCTTCGCGTACACATTTGGGTTGCTGTTGCGCACGCGGATCAAAGCTCGCTCGCTCGCTCGCCCGCTCGCCCTTGTTCTTTTTTCAAGCTTTCTATCGGCCTTGCTCGCTCTATGCGCCTCGATCTTTCCCTTGTCCCTTGTCCCTTCTCTCTTTATCTCTGTCTCTCTCCATCTCTATCTCTATCCCTATGGCCCTTCTCCCATCTTTCTGTCTATCCTGCTCCACCGATCTGTTCTTACTGTCACACCTAATCATACATAAAGCAATAACAACAACAATTCTTGAGCCTCTCTAATTGCTTTAACACCTTCCCCTAATAAGACCAACAACAATTTTTTACTATTTATTCAATATATTTATGTGTATGTATATGACCATATGTGCCCATATTGTGTATTAATCGGGCATTGCTAAAAAATTGCAGGTAAATTCTCAGCTGCTTTATGAGTTACTGCCAACCAAAAAACCAAAAACAAAAAATAATAATAATAATACAAAAAATTATATGCTCTTTTAAGTAGACTTTCCAAAAATGTGTAACCTCCACCCCAAAACCAATGTTTCTCACTTCCCATATCCACTGTATATAACTAAGAATATCAGCCCCTAACGTAAGCCCCTTATCGGATACATCATACCCTTCTCAAACCAGCCATCCTTTTAAGTTTTAGAATTTATGCCACGGCAAATCACTGCTAAGTATAATCATGCACCACCAATCTCAGCTTTGTCTCATTTTGAGCTCATCATGCGAAAGAATGAGCACATAAAATTGTTCAAGAAAGGTTTTGCCTTATTTTATATAAGTATATATTTAAATGTTGTTAATAGTAAGAAAAAGTATTGAAACTTAAAACTGATTTTTATCAATTTCGTTTATATTCTTCTACATACTACTTATGTATTAAAAAAAAACAAACTGTAGTTTAAATTATTTAATTTTATTGGAAAGAAATTAACTTTTAAAACTGAAATGGTTTCCCAATATCCATTTTGGAGTCTTCTTTAACATTTCACAAGTCATTTGTGTTCAAGTTCTCGTGCTAATGTTTAAGTATATGATATCCATCCGTAGACTTTTTCGGGTTGCTATAAGGTTTCAATTATAAACTGTACTTTTGAAAAATTGCAGGAAAAAGTATTGGAAATGGTGCAAAGGAGTTAGAGTATTTGTTCCATTCCATCTACGGCTATCTGATTACATTGTGGCGCGGCAAATCGCTTTCCTGAACAATTTTACTTGCTCATTCCTTACATTTTATTTGGCTTTTAGTCTCGTTAACAAACTTGTTGGTTCGTTTGTTCATCAATCAGTTTCCTGGCCAGCTCTGGAAGGCCGTTTGTACGATAAACTGGTTAAGATAAATGAAACTAATTCAAACTTTGTTCGCTTCTCCCCGCAGGTGTTTCGGCTACTTCGTTCCCTGCGGCCGCTGCGTGTGATCAACCGCGCCCCGGGTCTGAAACTAGTCGTGCAAACGCTCTTATCGTCCCTTCGTCCCATTGGCAACATCGTGCTGATCTGCTGCACCTTCTTCATCATTTTTGGAATTCTGGGCGTGCAGCTATTTAAGGGAACCTTCTACTACTGCGAGGGAGAGAACATCAAGAACGTGCGCAATCGCGAAGAGTGTCGCAAAATACCGGGCAACGTGTGGACGAACCGCAAGTACAATTTCGATGATCTGGGCAAGGCGCTAATGTCGCTCTTCGTGCTAAGCTCCCGTGACGGATGGGTGAACATCATGTACACCGGCCTAGATGCCGTCGGTGTTGACCAACAGCCCATTGTTAACTATAACGAATGGCGGCTACTCTACTTCATTGCGTTCATTCTGCTCGTCGGCTTTTTTGTACTCAACATGTTTGTCGGAGTCGTCGTAGAGAATTTTCATCGCTGTCGCGAGGAGCAGGAAAAGGAGGAGAAAATTCGACGTGCCGCCAAGCGGGCCCTTCAAATGGAGAAAAAACGGCGACGCATGCACGAACCGCCCTACTACACAAACTACTCACCCACCCGCATGTTTGTACACAATGTGGTCACGTCCAAGTACTTCGACTTGGCCATTGCAGCGGTCATTGGGCTAAATGTGGTGACCATGGCTATGGAGTACTATAAAATGCCGGCACCGCTGCAGTACGCGCTGAAAATTTTCAACTACTTCTTCACCGCCGTCTTTATACTGGAAGCCAACATGAAGCTGGTGGCCCTGGGCTGGCGTCTATACCTTAAAGATCGCTGGAATCAGCTGGACGTGGGCATCGTACTGCTCTCCATTGTCGGCATTGTGCTGGAGGAACTGGAGACGAACATCATCCCCATTAATCCGACGATAATCCGGGTTATGCGGGTGCTTCGCATTGCGCGCGTCCTTAAGCTACTCAAAATGGCGAAGGGAATACGTGCTCTGCTTGACACTGTAATGCAGGCACTGCCGCAGGTCGGCAACCTGGGCCTGCTCTTCTTTCTGCTCTTCTTCATCTTCGCGGCGCTGGGCGTGGAGCTCTTCGGACGCCTAGAGTGCTCAGACGAGATCCCATGCCAGGGACTCGGTGAGCATGCGCACTTCGCCAACTTTGGCATGGCTTTCCTCACATTGTTTCGCGTAGCGACTGGCGATAATTGGAACGGCATCATGAAGGACACGCTGAGAGATAATTGCGATGACGCGGCTGATTGCGTGCGCAATTGCTGCGTCAGCTCGGTTATCGCTCCCATATTCTTTGTGATATTCGTGCTAATGGCGCAATTCGTTTTAGTGAACGTCGTCGTGGCTGTACTGATGAAACACCTCGAGGAGAGCCACAAGCAGATGGAGGACGAGCTAGACATGGAGGTGGAGCTCGAGCGCGAGCTGGTGCGTGAGCAGGAGTTCGCGCAGGAGCAGAAGCTGTGCCAGCAGTTGGCGGAGGCGCAAAGTAAGGCGGTGGCGCCGCCGCGCCCGCTGGCCAAGGTTAAGTCACTACCAAAGAACTTCACCTACAGCACCCCCTCACTGGAAAAGAAGTTCCCCAGTCTGGCTAGCAGTGTGGCCACCGGTCTGGGCCTAGGAGCAGGTGCGGGCGCGGGCGCACGCCGCCAAACCGTGCAGTACTTCAACCAGCAAAACGGCCTGGGTATGGCAGAAATGGGTGCCACCCTAACGCCTCAAGCGCTCAGTGCACGGTTCGGCGATTCATTCGGCGGCCTGGGTTCCTCGGCGGTCATGGCGGCGTCGGCTGCGGCAGCTGGAGCCGACAGCAGCTTTGATGCGAAGCTGCAGCTGCCGACGCTGGGTCGCCGTGGGCGTCGTGCCTCAGCCGCTGGTTTTCGGAAACGTGGAATCCTTTCCAAGGAGCGCTCTTTGGACGAGCAGGCCATAAGACGACGCAATCTAGAGGCAAAACGTACTAGTTGCGACTCGCTGCCATGGGGTGGCGATGCAGTTGACTACCGTCGTGGCACCATCTTCGAAAGCCTCGAGTCGGACGGCAGCCCATCCTCCAGCTATGATATACGCAGCGTACGAAGTGCTGTCTTGCCACGAAGCGACGCCGTCGCTGTGGTCAGCGCACTGATTGGCGAGGAGCAGCCTATGGGGTTACTTCGGTCCACACCAACGACAACGGCAGCCAGTCTGCTTACGATCAACACGCTGCCAGCCACGCCCACAGTTCCGCTGACACCACCATCACTACCATTGGTCCAACCCACCGCGATGACGACAACAACGACGCCAACACCAACACCAATTTCAATACCGATGCCAATGCCAGCGTCAACGTCACTGTCAACGCCAACGCCAACACCTATGGCGCAATACCCACGTCGCCCCTTTGGGTGGTCCCAATCTGTGGATCAAGGATGCCTCTTAGGCGCACCCGGGCGAAGCAGCCTGCTGTTATCGGTACCGCGTTCCATGCCCCCTCGCAGTCGCAGCGGCAGCACCAAGCAGTTGTTTAAACAACAGGCCCTAGACGAAGACCCGGACATGGACGAGAGCTCGTTGCTGCTGCCTGTCGTGCTGACTTCAAATGCGGGCGGCAGTGGCTCCGGCAGCCTGACTGACGAGGGCGGCAGTAGCAGTGGCGGAGCCATTGCCACGGGCGGAGTTGGGATGGATTGCGCCGGTGTGAACAAATCTGACTCGGCAGACATAATGCGCATAATCAGCGAACGACGACGCATGGATCAGCGTGATCCTTGTGGCAATGAGGACAGTGATTACAATGAGCTACTACTTGTCAAGTCGCCTCAGTCCTCGACGGATGGCTGAAGGAGGACGGAGGACATTAGCGTTAAGAGCCTATGCTAAGGTCAAGAGCTTCTACAAACTTACTAACTACATATACATACATACATACTTATGTATAAATGAACACGCACTGTGCCCTATAAGCTTTACTCTCATTCAAAAACACTTTCTGTTTATACTATATATTTAACTATCGCTGTCTCTGTTTCTGTCTCTGTCCCTGTCTCTCGCTTTCTAGCGCAGTCTCCATCTTTTTCTAACAGTAGCCTTTGCTAACCTTAGGGAATTTTCTAAGTGCTCAGTTTTAAACTAAATTTAAATCGATAGGCGATTACGATAACTAATCATAAATCAATAGCGATAGCGATAATGATAACGATAACGATATCTACTTATAGAGCGTTCTTTAACAAAATTGTCAACTGTTTTTAGTGCAATCTACGGTTTTCATAAGTTTAGTCTTTAAATGGTATTGTTATAGCAACAACAAAAAAAACAACAAGAACAACAAGAGCAACAACAACATAGCGAGCAAGATGTAATGTTGTTTGGAGCGTTTTCCTGTTTTTAAAATGAAAAATTACAAATGAAACAAACAATTATGATATATACAAGCCGTTATATGCGATATATATACAGTTATACATAACATAGGAGTACATACATGATGGAAATTGTGAAAAATCATCAACTCTGTGATTAGCTCTTAAAGTTTAAACATTTATATGAACATATATGCCTATATGTAAATAAAGTATGTGTATTGTATTTTATGTAGTTTAACAAAAACAACAAGTCGCTAGCAATTGGACGCTGATTCAAAAAATAACAAAATAATAATTATAATAATTGATGAGCAATAGTAATTTTAGCTTGTAAGATTCCTCACTTCCCTGGTACCCAAATCCCCAAAATTGGTGCACTGGATCTTGCCACTTCTCACAGTCGCTGCCGTCAACAGAGAACCTTTACGAAAACGAATTTACTTAGGTACTTAAAACTGCAACAACAACAATACGCACCTCTTCTATACCACAGTTTGTCTTTTCTCAACTAAAAACAATGGCGACAATCTCGTAATTTCTATCGCTTCTCCGTCAACATCTGGCACACTCGATTTCACTCCCTCTATCCCTTCCCAACTACTACTGTATATCTTTCTCTCTCTCTCTGTTGCTCCAGCTTCCAGTTTATGATGAAATTGAAGGTATTGCCTTCATCTTTCGCAACTTTCATTTCAACAAAGTGTGCCAAATAATATGAGTACGTTTAATTTCAAGAAAGAACAAAGGGTATTCATAACTAGTGTATGTTAAGTTTTTGCGTAGAGAAATAAAATTGATATACATATGTACACCTATATATGTATGTATAAAAATCGTGAATGTATTAAACGAGCATCAAATAATATTGTTGGATTTTTACGAAGAGCCTGGAATCAGCAGACAAAAGATAAAAACAATACAAAAAACAAAACAAGAAGCTATTTTTATAAATAGAATGCAGCAGCCAATTTGGCAAAAATCGAGGGAGAATCAAACCAACCAATATAAAAGATATATAGATATACATACATACATACTAAGTATACATATATAGAGGAATTTTCAAATGTAGGCAAAATGTAATGGAAATAATATGAGGGACAGAAAAATAAAAAAAGAAAGCAACAATAACAACAAATAAATTAAAACCGAACGCACTCTGCCAGCTCTGACCTTCTTTGAAAACCATAAGCAGCAGCAACTATAAAGTGTAGCATTTATAAAGATATATAGAGAATTAATAACTACTTATATATATATATATAGTGTATATATTATCTGTATATTGTATGTATATGGAACTATCAACGAATTACAATAGTATATTGCTGCAGCAAAAAAACAAAAATGTACACATACACGTACATACATAGGTATATAGAGACATACATAGGAGGTATACCTACACTTTTTAGGCATATGTAGCTCACAACACGAACATTGTCAATTCTTCACCTATGTATGATCAATCAGAGCTAATTTTCCAAAACGTTTACACTCTTTGTAGCAACTACAACAAAAAAACAAAACAAAACTCTCCCAAGTTTAGATAAACTTTAAAAAGAAAAATATGATCTTACAAACTTTAATGGTGCGACACGGTCGTTCCGCACACACTTGCATATACATACATATATACAAGCAAACAAACAAACAACAACAAAAACAACAAATTTATTTAATAATTTCATCTGTGCCTTTTCTCTATGAATATATATACATATATATTTCTATATATATATATACTCGTTCAACACATGATATATGTATACAATCTATAGTCATATATACATACTTACATACATACATGCATGCATACATACATATATACTTCTCACGTACTTTTTTTCCACACTCCCCTGCGTGCGGACAAGATCAGAGCTCGATTATTTGAAACCCAAGAAACATAATTACCTACAGCTTCGGCTCGATCGAAATATACTTACTGTTGTGGCCTGAACAAATGAAACAAACAGTGATGGCAATAGTACACACATAGTACACACACACCACATACACCCACGAACTCACACACACATACAAATGCACTTCACTGCAACACAAAGCTCCAAAGCGATGAAGGTGCAGAGCGGGGCATAGAATCTCTTTCTGAAGCCCGCGTGAGAGCAACTGCAACAACTAATATTTAGAATTAAATCCACACACAGACACAGACAGACCACACATTCACACATACATACATACATAGTTACATAAGTACATACGCGCGTACAGGCATTATAAACGAAAATTACTTAGGTCTACTACGGTACAGTAAAAACTTAACTTTTATATATGTAGGTTGATAAGCTGGCTGCCAGCCGCAGCGCTTTATTAGTTCAGAATTTTTTTTTTTAATTTTTTAATGTAGCCGCTTGAAGTAAATGGAAATTTTTTTGTAAAAGTAAACAAACTATAAACAGCGTTTTTTCTTGTTGATTAATAATTAGGTAAATGCAAAATGGAAATTATAAGTTATATATACCATAAAAAATTTAAAAAAAAATAAAATAAATAAATGAAGCAAAAATATTAGAGAAAGTTGCAAGCGCAAACAAAAATGGTAAATTAAATTAAATTGAACGCAAAGAAAAATCATAGCAATAATAAAAACAAAACGCATGAATTTGCTTTTAACCGGTAATAATGCCAACGAAAATAAATTGTTTCGGGCATACGAGTTAATTAAATTGTAACAATAAATAGAAGTTGCTTAAGTACACAAAACGCAGCCCAAAACCAAAACAAACAACTACAAATACATTCACGAAATTGAGCACTATTTCTTCTGTCTCTCTCCCTCCCGCTCTATTGAAAACTAGGCAAATACACCAAGAAATAAAAACGAAAGCAAAAAACAACAGATCAATCAATAGCCAAGTTAAAACGATTTTGTTGCGTGTCTTTTTGCATTAGAGGCAAAAGCAAATGGCAAACCGTTTCATTTAAAAGTAAACAAAAATCGGTTGAACTATGCTATATAATGTCGCTATACACAAATACATGAAAGCAACTAAAACAATGAGTATTATGAATAAAAGAGATTTGAGAAAAGTATACATCAAGTGATATGCTGTTTTATTATTGGATATGATGTACCTTGGCCTTGTTCAATATGTATTTCATCTCTCATTACGTATTTATGGGGCTTAAGAAGTAGACAAAATCCGTTCTTTTCTTTTTCGTTTGTCAATTTTAATAAGACATACATAGTTTGTGATGTATTGGTCACACTGATTCATGACTGGCCTATTGGAAATTTGGGACTCCTGCGTTAGTTCCTCTCAATTGGGAAATAATTCAAAATATATTTAAAAGTTGTTTTGACAATGGACAATTTTAGAAATTCCAAATTTAGAAACTCCAACGTCATTGAACATTGCGATAAGATCATGGAAATATTTGAAACACATCTGATGATGATCATGTCAGCAGTCCTTGTAGCGTTCAGGAGCTTAAAATTGGCATTAAGGAATTGTAAAACCACAAATCTGATCGAGTTTCTATCTGGGAATCGTTGGCCAAATAGAAAATCGACCCATTTCTTAAACGAATAGGAAATACCCATTACTATTAAAATACTCGTACACGTTCGTAAGCCGCGCTTGTTGCGCCTCATAATCGAGAAAGTTGGTTAGCACAATGAAATAAAAACGAAATCGAGATTACAATTGAAATTGCAATTGCAATTGCATTCGATCGGCAGCATCGGCATATGCAAATTGTTAATAATGAGCGATCGAGTAATTGCATTGCATTGCCAGTTGCCACGCGACGCTGCTCTGAGGCACAACGCATACAATGTCACGGGCGCAGAGCCCCACATCATCGATTTTGTTGCACGCCGGGCTCTTCGTATTCGTCGCTGCGGTGGCGGCAAATGGTGCAACAGCTGGCGCAGGCGTCGACACCGTCAGTCCGCTCGGACAAATCAACGTTGGCTATATTTTCGAGAGCTACACACCATATGCCCTGCAGCGCTTCTTCGAGTTTAGTGATCGTGGCTGGAACATCAGTGCTCCATGTCTACGCGATATGTACGCCTATCTGCAGGCCCTGCGCCACGGCCTACCCTGGGCTGTCCGACGTAAGTTCGCATTTAGAATTAGGAATTGGGACTAAAATGCTTTTTAAACTGAGTTAAGAGCGATGAGTGCTTTGGCGCAGACAAACACAACATTTTAGCTCGTTTTATTTATTTGTTTACAACAACAGTACATAGTGGAATATTGCCCGAAATTGGGAGAATCTCCCTTTACGACTTTATTGTCCTCATCGCCCTGATCGTCCGATTTCTCAATACTCCTATGCCTGCTGACGTGGATGCTGACATTTTTTGAGGGTAAAGTAACTCTCCTTTGACATGCTTAATTATTATGGTGCACTATTTCAGCTTAAAATGGAACTGAGTTGGATTTTTTAAAGTTTTTTTTGTTAATCATATGCATAAATTATTATTTTAGAGCATCGAGCGCTATTTAATCAAAATTCACTCCCCTCCCTCCACCTTTTTTTTTTTGGAAAAACCTGCGTACGATCTTGCCTAAAAGTATATTCCACTTCACACTGATATTCAAGTTTTGAGCTTGTCATTACTTGTATCAGGGAAGTCTTCTTCGACGTGACTCTGATTGCGGTCAGTGATTTCAATTTCACTATATTCTATGTTTTTTTATTTTTTAGATTGTTTGATATTGCTAGAACTCTCCCTTTCGGTATATTCTTCCATTATTGGCAAGTCCTGTGTTCTATCTAGTATTTAAAACCCGATAATCCTCGTACTCATTCTGGAGAGACTTCGTGCCTAGCTTTGTGCTCAAGAAGTGTTCTAAATTATTCCGTATGCCAACAATTTCTACGAGCAGAGCTCTTCAATTTATCCATCGATTGTGCAGCTTTTTCAAAGAGTAGGGAAAGATTATTTTATTATTCCACAAAAACAGTTGCAAAACAGACAAATCTATTTGAAAAGTTATTTCTTCTACTTTTCATCAACCATGTAAGAACAACAAGTGGAAGAATTTCCTAGTAATATATAGAATGATAATCTCCTTTCACTCTCACAGTGTACGATGCGAGTGCATACTACGCCGGCGGAGTCTACGAAAGATCCTCCGGGATGTCCGTACGACTGCAAAACTATCGGCTCTGCCATCAGCTACATAACTCACAGCTCCTCAACATTACGCCGCCCTTCCCTCTCCAGCTACTAATAGCGGACTACGAACTGCAGCTGGCCGGAGAGTCAGATAAGGGTTTAGTTTTGGTGAGACAGCAGCTCTGCCTGCCGCACAGCTGCCGCAGCGATGAGGAGCTTAATAGTATCCTAGAGCCTGTTGCCTATGAACGCAATCATGTGCTCATTGGGCAGCGTCTGCTGCAGCAGCGTCGAATCACTAACGACTTCCGGCCCTGGCGCTCGATGCATCTACACATATGTCTAGTGTACGTGAGCGTAGCTTGCGGCTACTACGCATTACTGGAGCTGCTGCTCCATTTCCAACAGAAGGATTCTGAGAGAGATAACCCACCCGTCCAGCTTGCCACACTGACGCATAGTCTGGCGAATTTGTGGCGACGCAAGTTTCTGCTACACAGCCTTAAACTGCTGCGTCTAACGCCCCAACTCCAATCGGACATTGGACAGACTAAGAAGGCCCCTAGCCTACACTACAGACAATGGATATTGCATAGCTCTCTTAAGCAAACGACCCAAAGACTCTTCTCCCGTGTTGACAATGGCACGCAGTCGTTGATTCTGTTCGCCTGGACGCTGCTCTGGATGGGTTCACAGCTTGCGGCGCAACTAGGCGCCAGCTCTCTGCCCACAGATGCAGAGCCCATTGGCTACATGCTCGACATCTACTTTCTGATCTACGGCTGCAAGTTGGCGCAGGAGTTCCTTCGCATGCTCCCAACCCAGCCACTGGAACTGTCCGCCCAGCTCGCCCATCTAGCTACAATGCTGGCCCAACGTCTGGTATGGTAGGTACTTGCTCGGTTGCTCGCTTTGAATATCATATAAACATATTGTTCCCATAAAAATGATATGATATCGTATTCCGATACGACAAAACTTAAATTCATATGTTTTATCAAAGAACTCTTCGATATTTCAAACAAAACAAGCAAATATTTTCACACTACGACTTTTTCTAACCGACTTCAAAAAAGGAGGATGTTATCAATTCGTCTGTATTTTTTGTTGTTGAGAAAACTACAAAACTACCTCATTTAGTCCAAATAGCTGTAAATTCTATTCCTCAAAATCATCCTCGAAACATAAAGTTCATTGAAATGGTTTTTTTTTTTGTTTTGTTAACATTTTACTTGTTTAATCTGATTCCTTTTGCAACTCTATATACTTGTATATCTCAGAAGCCTCATGCATGTAGTTAAAATTCCATTAAATTGTATGTATCTTCTAAATTTAATTTATTCACTTTTCCTAAAAACATTTACAGTTGAAGTAAAGATATCTTAGCCTTTTCTAATTAATTAAACAAAATGGACAAATATAAAAAGTTAAACAGCAATTCACAATGTAAAGTCCTTATATCTGATATATGACATTTTTCCGATATAGCTTTACAAATAAAGAACTTCTTGCACTTGTCCAATAGGTGTAGAAAATAGTGGTCCTTTTTTAGCGCTTTATTGAAGTTTCTAAAAAAGCTATGAAACGAAAAGA